GACAGGGGGGAAGCTTTTAGCAGCAAACTGACCCCCGTTACACGAGCATAGAGGAAGGATTAGACGTTAATTAATTACAGTTGATAGTATGTTTAAAAAAAAAGTACTTATGTATCTACATGTTTTTTGATAGTATCTCAAAATGTTTAAATAGTATCACAACATTTTGAGATATGTCAGTCAAAATTTCAAGATACTATCTCAAAATATCAAGATGTACTTACGTATCTAAACATTTCTACATACTATCTCAAAATGTTGTGATACTATTTAAACATTTTGAGATACTATCAAAAAACATGTAGATACATAAGTACTTTTTTATTTTTTTTACATACTATCAACTGTAACCTACTGTAGTCTGATCAACTGTAGCCTACTGATAACAACCACAGCTGCAGGTAGCCTAGAGAAGCCTATGCGCTCTGATCCCCTCTGGCCAGGGGAAATGTAGCGGGTAAGGCCTGTTCACCCTGCTATCATCCAGAAGGCAAGGTCAGTACAGGTGCATCAAAACTGGGACTGAGAAACTGAAAAACAGCTTCTATCTCAAGGCCATCAGACTGTTAAATAGCCATCACTAGCCGGCCTCCACCCAGTACCTTGCCCTGAACTTAGTCACTGTCACTAGGTGTCTACCACCCGGTTAGTCAACCCTGCACCTTAGAGGCTGCTGCCCTATGTACAGTTGAAGTCGGAAGTTTACATACACCTTAGCCAAATACATTTAAACTCAGTTTTTCACAATTCCTGCCATTTAATCCTAGTAAAAATGCCCTGTCTTAGGTCAGATAGGATCACCACTTTATTTTAAGAATGTGAAATGTCAGAATAATAGTAGAGAGAATGATTTATTTCAGCTTTTATTTATTTCATCACATTCCCAGTGGGTCAGAAGTTTACATACACGCAATTAGCATTTAGTAGCATTGCCTTTAAATTGTTAAACTTGGGTCAAACGTTTCGGGTAGCCTTCCACAAGTTTCCCACAATAAGTTGGGTGAATTTTGGCCCATTCCTCCTGACAGAGCTGGTGTAACTGAGTCAGGTTTGTAGGCCTCCTTGCTCGCACACGCTTTTTCAGTTCTGCCCACAAATGTTCTATAGGATTGAGGTCAGGGCTTTGTGATGGCCACTCCAATACCTTGACTTTGGAAGTATGCTTGGGGTCATTGTCCATTTGGAAGACCCATTTGCGACCAAGCTTTAACTTCCTGACTGATGTCTTGAGATGTTGCTTCAATATATCCACATACATTTCCTTCCTCATGATGCCATCTATTTTGTGAAGTGCACCAGTCCCTCCTGCAGCAAAGCACCCCCACAGCATGATGCTGCCACCCCCGTGCTTCACGGTTGGGATGGTGTTCTTCGGCTTGCAAGCCACCCCCTTTTTCCTCCAAACATAACGATGGTCATTATGGCCAAACAGTTCAATTTTTGTTTTATCAGACCAGAGGACATTTCTCCAAAAAGTAAGATCTTTGTCCCCATGTGCAGTTGCAAACCGTAGTCTGGCTTTTTTATGGCGGTTTTGGAGCAGTGGCTTCTTCCTTGCTGAGCGGCCTTTCAGGTTATGTCGATATAGGACTTGTTTTACTGTGGATATAGATACTTTTGTACCTGTTTCCTCCAGCATCTTCACAAGGTCCTTTGCTGTTGTTCTGGGATTGATTTGCACTTTTCGCACCAAAGTACATTAATCTCTAGGAGACAGAACGCGTCTCCTTCCTGAGCGGTATTAAGGCTGCGTGGTCCCATGGTGTTTATACTTGCGTACTATTGTTTGTACAGATGAATGTGGTACCTTCAGGTATTTGAAAATTGCTCCCAAGGATGAACCAGACTTGTTGAGGTCTACAACATTTTTTCTGAGGTCTTGGCTGATTTCTTTTGATTTTCCCATGATGTCAAGCAAAGAGGCACTGAGTTTGAAGGTAGGCCTTGAAATACATCCACAGGTATACCTCCAATTGACTCAATTGATATCAATTAGCCTATCAGAAGCTTCTAAAGCCATGACATCATTTTCTGGAATTTTCCAAGCTGTTTAAAGGCACAGTCAACTTAGTGTATGTAAACTTCTGACCCACTGGAATTGTGATACAGTGAATTATAAGTGAAATAATATGTCTGTAAACAATTGTTTAAAAAATAACTTGTGCATGCACAAAGTAGATGTCCTAACCGACTTGCCAAAACTATAGTTTGTTAACAAGAAATATGTGGGGTGGTTGAAAAACGAGTTTTAATGACTCCAACCTAAGTGTATGTAAACTTCCGACTTCAACTGTACATCAAACACATGGTTTCCAGGTGTTTGATGCCATTCCATTTGTTCCGTTACGGACATTATTATGAGCCGTTCTGCCCTCAGCAGCCTCCTGTGATGAATATACTGTATTCTACTGTAATCTAGTCAATGCCACTCCGACATTGCTCGTCCTAATATTTATATATTTCTTACTCTCTGTTTACTATCTATGCATAGTCACTTTAATAACATTACATTTACATTTAAGTCATTTAGCAGATGCTCTTATCCAGATCCAGTTAGTGAGTGCATAAATTTTTCATACTGGCCCCCCGTGGGAAACGAACCCACAACCCTGGCGTTGCAAGCGCCATGCTCTACCAACTGAGCTACAGGAGGCCTCAATAACTCTACCTATGTACATATTATCCCCAATTACCTCGACTAACCGGTGCCCCCGCACATTGACTTGGTACCGGTACCCCCTGTATATAGCCTCGCTATTGTTATTTTTACTGCTGCTCTTTAATAATTTGTTACTTTTATTTTGTATTATTTTATATTGTATTTTTTTGTGTGATTTTTTTTTGCATTCTTTCTTAAAACAGCATTGCAGGTTAAGAGCTTGTAAGCATTTCACTGTAAGGTCTACACCTGTTGTATTCGGCGCATGTGACCAATACAATTTGATTTGATTTGATTTGATACTAATGCACTGTTGGAGCTAGGAACAGAAGCATCTCGCTACACCCTGCAATAACATCTGCTAAATATGTGTATGTGACCAATAACATTTTATTTTATTTTATTTCAACACCATGTATTTATAGCCTAAACTATATACTGTATTTATAGCCTAAAATACGCCAATTTATTTGTGTTAAGAGAAAATGTGAATGTGATCAAATTTTGTTTATATTCAAACTTCGGGTGGCTAGGATACCTAGTACCTTTCAATACAAAATGATTGACTGGAATTAATCAATCAACACAATAGTGATTGAATAATGGGTGAGTAACTTTTTAATTAGATTCAAAGGCCTACATGATGCAACCCTGCATAAAGCAAGCTCAGCCCTGTTAGTTCTATATTCCAATCGCAGTCGCGATTTGTTTCCTTTACACACTTTGTCTGTGTAAAGGAAAATTGCCACACAATGCTCAGAATTCATATGAACAAGGTTGCCGCAGTTTGTTTACTGCTTCATTTCCCATGGCCAGAAGGGATCAGGGCGCATAGGCTTCTCTAGGTCAGGGTTTCCCAAACTTTGTCCTGGGGCCCCCTTGGGTGCACATTTTGGTTTTTGCCATAGCACTACACAGCTGATTAAAATAATCCAGGCTTGATGATGAGTTGGTTATTTCAATCACCTGTGTAGTGCTAGGGCAAAAACCAAACGTGCACCCCGGGGGGGCCCAGGACCGAGTTTGGGAAACCCTGCTCTAGGCTACCTGCAGCTGTGGTTGTTATCAGTAGGCTACAGTTGATCAGACTGAAGCACAGATTAGTTGTGCACGAGTTGACAAATCACGAGGCAAATCAGTCTAAACAACATTACTTTGTCCTTATTTTTAATGGCTTTGTGTCAATAATTTGTATTAAACCAAATCAAAAATGCTGGGGAAAATGCCAGCTCGCCACACTTTTGATGGCGGCCCTGCTGTGCTGATCTCTGCAATGTCAATGTGGATAGATGGAAATCGCCACACAATGCTACAAATGAAGAAACATATCCTCTATGATCTACTATTTCAACATTTTAAAATACTATCTCAACATTTTGAGGTAGGCTAGTATCTAAAAAATGTGACTTGGGTATCTCGAAATGTTTACATAGTAGCCTATCTCAAAATGTTTAGATAGTATCGACATTTAAAGGCCCAGTGCAGTCAAAAACGTGATTGTCCTATGTTTTATATATATTATGATAATGCCCTTTTAGTGTAAGAGCTGTTTCAAAAGACTGCTTGAAATTTCACCCTGTTTTGGTGGGATGGAGTTTTGGCATGCCTGTTGACATCTCCAGGTCATAAATTAGTTCCAAACCTCTCTGCCAATAACAGCTATATTTCAGTTTTCCCCTCCCCACTCAGACCACTCCCAGATTATTATTTTTTAAATCATTTGAATTGAAAACAATTACAGTAAGGTACTCAATTGTTACCCGAAAACAATTTAATATTGAGATAAAAACTGCTGCATTGGAACTTTTTTTTTAAATGGTGGAGGAAATGGGTTTCCATATCCATAGTTATTATCTGCATTCATTTTGGAGCTTTGCCCTCTCGTTTTAAATCATTAGGGGTGTAGCCTGCCATAGCTGGCAACCGAGAGATGGGCATTGACATTTACTGCTGAATTATGACCCATTCCATTTGAAAACAGCATAGACTACCACAATAATTTATGAGCACGGTGTTTGGTCCTCCCACAACGGAACACGCACGGTAAATTTAAGGTTCCACGGACGTTCACATTAGTGACAGGATAACGCGACGTGAACATCGTGCTCTCCCTCATCACTATGATTTTGGTTACGCGTCTGCGCGCGCCCTGCATCAGCCGCGGGGCCACATAGCAATCAGGTGGTAAAATCAACTTTTCAGGATAGCTTTTGAAGACAGCTATGGTGTTGTTGTTACCTTACGAGGGCCGACAATGTGAGAAACGGACATATTTGATAGGTAACCAAACGGCAATGAGTAGGTTAACCGGATGAAACGAGACAAGGAGTAAGACACAATCATGAGCTCCTCTTTTCCCAAATCCGAATCCAAGACCTCATTGCTGAAATCTTCCTCGGCAAGCGGAAGATCGACACACTTACCTGAACTCACGACAGAAACCGACCGAAGTCATCATCATCACCACCGTCCAGCTGCAAGTCAAGTAAGCAATGCCGCAGAGGAGTCATTCTGGTCGGCAGAGTGCGACATTAGTGCGCGGAGACCCCTGTGCCACCCCTCGCTCCTCGGTACCCGGAATAGGGCAACGACCCGAGCTAGTAAGAGCCAGTCCCACGCCCCGCACGGCCACGTCCCCGCCGCCCACTCCCAGGATGACCCATCTGAGCAACATGGTGTGGGCCGAGGTGTGAGAGAACGCTGCAAGTCATCCAAGCATCACCGACACCACCGGAAAACGACCCGGGACGACCCGCCACCTGCACATCAACACATTCACACTCACCCTACCCGCTTAGATCCAAGAATAGGCAAACAGCCCCACTCAGACTGCAAAGACGACACCGCGCTCTTGTTTGAATCGAGGGACCATACAAGGGCCAGTTCGTCCGCTAGCGGGGATGCCAGCATCCCGTCCCCAGGTTCCTCCTCACCTATCCCCGTATCCAGCCAATCATCACATCGCTCTGGAAGGTCCAGTGCGGCATCATGTGAATCCGACTTTTTGCGGCCAATTCTCAACTCGGTTTTTGGACAGGTAAGACCCTTGCCTAAAACATAATACACATTAAATTGTTAATTAAAAGTATTTCTTAATTATGAAAAATAATGATTCATTTGCAATCACAAATTATAAGGCTAAGCTTCTTCAAAGCGTTTGGTCTTTATGATTAAACAGATTAAATTGTGGTGAGGACATGAATGGATAGACTGTATTTCATAATCAATAAGGCCTATTTAGCCCTGTAATGTAGGCTATTTCTTAAGAGGGAGTAGGCCTACCTTTATCAGAGTATTGATCTCAGATAGAGAGGTAGTAGTCTGAATGTAATTGATAGTGCATGAAAACTATTGTATTTGAGGGTCACATTACTGTCTTGTAGTGGAATCTTACAGCCATTGAACATGCCTGGCTCACTGAGCCCAGTAAATCAATGACATTAATAATGGATGAGCTTGTCTGTGAAAGTGCAGAGGGCTTCAGTGAGTGTTTTTATTAGAGCTCCTCTGTCAATGAACCGTGAACAGGAAACCTTATAGGCTATCCTCATTGTACATTTCACATTAAATCATCCAGAAATGCAATGCCCACATTTGGTGCACACATTGTTATCCTCACATGTACCATGATGTCACAGGTGATTTAGCCTTACATTCCAGATTTTTCTGGCATTGTAATATTTACAGCTGCACACATTGCCATATAAAGCCATGTCTCGATTTATGGTTTCTCAGCATGGATGTACAGTAGTAGGCCTACACATTGGAATGAGAGAGGGGAGAGTCAGAGAGGCAGAGGAGAGAGAGAGAGAGAGATACAGAGAGTAGAACGTTCTGAAGTGTTAATTTGTATTACACTGAAATCAATGCTATTTGCATATTCATAGATACATTGATTTTTAAAAACTATGAAGATATATTATTTGTATTTTGTTCTTTGAAGGTAGCCTAGTCACTTTGAAGTATCTCCTCATGATGAAAGGATGTTAGATGTTCCTCACAGTTGTCACTGCACCCAGAACAGGTGTTTTCCAAACATGTGTTGGATGTGTTTATAGATATTCTAATTATTGCCCAGAAATAAATAGCCAATTATTATTCATGTACAGAGCTTGAACTCAATAGTGACATAGGCCTTCACATAGTCGATTTACTGGTGTTTAGGTATGCCTATCTATAGCTTAAGTAATTGGTTTAGGATGGTTGTGTAAATGTCATAATACATCAACTACCATTGATGCTTATGAGCCACATGGTATACAGTAGTAACTACATTAAGGCATTATAATGTCACTTCACACTAGAGGGCACTCTGATAATGTATTAGTATTGCTCAAAATGAAACATGATAAGATCAGAAAACATTCATATATGATTTGTGTCCCTGCTCTGTAAACATAATAATGTGCTTGTGCTGACCCTTCTGCAGACTGGGGTCTTTAGTGTTCATAAAGAGGAAGTTGGTATTGGTCTCTCAATGGGAGTGTGCGGAATCATGGAATGGGCTCTTGACTTTGTGGATCGCTCTTGACTTGTATAGTGATGGTGTGTTGTGATATGCTATGCCTCATACTTTGGTATTATCTTTTCAATAAGTGTCCTGCGGATTAGGTGGAGTATATTATGTGTTCTCAACGTTTAATTAGTTTCCTTTTTATTGTGTTTTTGCTGAGCATTTGCAAACTGAAGCTTTGGTGCTTCTAACAATGAAGTCAGTGAGTCTGTGTGACAACCCTCAGCTCAGCAGCCAATCTATTTCCATAATTGTTTTGTCTCTCGGGTGTTTTCTCTGTCATCTGTGAGGCAGTCAGGAAGTGGGTGCCAGTGAAACATAAGCTCAATATGAATCAGCTCTTTATGACACAGTAATTGAGAGGTGGTGAGACACAGGGAGAAGCATAACACATGTTCTATCAGATCCCCATATAGCATGTGTTATACGACACAATGTTTCTGAGACAAATAAAGCAGACATCTCATTCTACCTAGTTGCTTTTTTTTAAATAACAGAATGTTCCAAAATGAATGCAATGCTCCAATGTTCTCCCTCCCTCTTCTCTCCCTCTTCCTCTCCCTCCATGGTTTTCTCTCCCTCCCCTTCTATGACGTTCTCTGTGCATTTGGCTCTGTATGTCTGTTAGGTCAGTGTGACCTTGTCATAGTCTACAGAGGGGTGGAGATGGGAGAGGAGAGGGGAGGAGAGTGAAGGATAGAGGGATGACGGGGAAAATAGGGGGTAGGAAATAGAGAGCCAGGTGACAGTTGAGCAGAAAAATGTATTCATCTCCGATGTACCTGTACATTTACGATGAATTATTTACAGGCACATTAAAAAGAACTGTATCATTTGACAGTCAGAGTGCCATCTAGAGCTTATAACCAAGTGTCAAATTGAACATAGGTTGATGTGTACGTGTGTCTGTGTGTCTACATGTGGATGTGCATGCGTAAACATTAGCATGATGCAAACATGATGCAAACAAACCAAGAATGTCTCCAATAAGATGTGTGATGTGTTCTGACGTTCACCATAACCCTGAGAAAGAGTGCTACATTAGCTAAATGTGCTCCTACCTAGATGAATCATCACCTGAGAGAGAGAGAGAGAGAGTGCGAGTGAGGAAGGTTATATCAGAGATTTTGTACGAATAACTTACACCATCTGAGTGATTCAGTGTCATCCAATGTGTCATCCAATTCTCATTGCCTGTCTCCCAAAGTAGCTGCATATTTTGCTGGTTTGACATTTATAGCCTATTCATGAACAATTGAAGGAAATGGCTCAATAAATGAGTAGGGCATGTTGTATTCGTCTCACAGTGATAACTGTGATATCAATGGCAGTGCTTCCAACCACAGCAAATTGCCCCCTCTGCTACGGCTGAAAGAGAAGACTCTAGAGGTGTAGAGGTCTACTGTTTCATCCAGCAGTACTGTACAGTCTCAGGGATCATTTTCATGGCTCGGCAGTTAAGAGAAAGTGGAATTAAAAACACTCAATGGCACAGCAGTATATAATAATCCATTAATTAAACAATTTATTACTACTAGTCCCACCTAAACATGCAGTTAATCCATAGTGAAAACATTGTTACAAATACTTTTGATAATTACCCTGCATATATCCTAATTTTGTTATATATTTGCTTAACATTGTTGATGTTGTTTAGTCAAGCTTGCATTCTTTATATGTGCCAGAAAATGGTATCCTGCCGCTTTTATTCAAATGTGCCTTTTTAAAAACTTTTTTACACAACCTTCCTGCTGATTAGAATTGTGTATGTAATGGTATGTGTCATGTGTTTTGAGAGAGAAGGAAGGAGAGTAAGTGGGTAAAGGATCGGCATCTTCTCTCTGCATTATTTGTTTCAACTTGTGCATTTCATGGGGAAGTTGGACCTACCTCCTCCTTTCCCCCCTCTTCCATCTCTTGTTCCCTGCCTCTTACTCCTTCTTCCTCCCTGCTCTCTCCTTCTCTCTCCCTCTCTTTGACTGTTTTTGTTGGTTCTGTCACAGTCGTTTCCACTTTCGTTAGGTGCTAAGCAGCTCAGCTCTCTCTCATAATCATTCTTACACTCAGTACCTGAAGTTAAATAAAAGTACATTTTATTTGTCACATGCGCCGAATACAACAGGTGTAGACGTTACCGTGAAATGTTTACTTACAAGCCCTTAACCAACAATGCAGTTTTAAGAAACTGTGCGGGGGTACAGGTTAGTCGAGGTAATTGAGGTAATATGTACATATAGGTAGGGGTAAAGTGACTATGCATAGATAATAAACAGCGAGGAGCAGCAGCGTTAAAAAAATGAGGGGTCAATGCAAATAGTCCGGGTAGCCATTTGAAAGGTGAGTTTGTATTTGATGTGATGCACTGTAGCCAGGGTTGATGAGTAATTGATTACATGTAATCAGTTACATGTTATCTGATTACAAAATACTGTAACTGTCATCAGATACGTTACCTGAACAAATATTGTAATCAGATTACAGATACTTTTGAAAAACTAGATGATTACTTATTGGATTACTTTTAAATTCAGAAAGGATGTCTGTAATGGATTACATTTACAAAGTAACCTACCCAACCCTGACTATAGCGCATGTGCCCTACCTCTCCAGCTGTCTATCCTCTATGTCTTGTGTCTGTTCCCATGTGCTGGACTATTTCACAATTTGTACAAACTGCTGTACAGAGATATGCTAGTTGAAACAGTAATGAAATGTGAAAGGATTTTTATTTGTAGAACTGCTTTTACTACTGTGTGGTGTATTTAGGGACATTCATATTTACAGTTGGTGTGTGAAACTGTTTCCCTGATGAGGAGACTTTATTTTGTTACTATGCACTGCGTATTTCGTTTTAATCTACCACCTGACAATTATGTCAAATATATTACTAGAATAAGAACAAGTGACTTGTCATTGATTTATTACATTTACATATACAGTAAAGTCCATTACAATCTGCAGACTAGAGAGCACTTCAGCTCTGTAAATTAGTTTACAAAGTGATGGAGAGTATTATTATGCTGTTTGCCGACTGATGTCATGCCACGTTTTTACAATTATATTTCACTCATGACAGCAAAAAATAAAAAAGTGGGACATCTACTACTTTCACAATGTCTCTTACCATTAGTAATTATACCTCTACTTGGCCTGCCTCTTGAAACATGCACTTTCGTAGAATCTTTTTTTTTAACCAAACCAAAATTGCAAGTGAAGTCTTTGGCACAAATGGTCGGTCCTGGGCATCAGTGTAGAATGATGGGCAGATCCAGGTTCTAGTAGCAGATCCAGGTTCTAGTAGCAGATCCAGGTTCTAGTAGCAGATCCGGGATCTAGTAGCAGATCCAGGTTCTAGTAGCAGATCCAGGTTCCAGTAGAGGATTAAGAGTTAAATGGAGTGCAGTCCTAGTTCACTGAAAGAAAGTGTCTTCTCTTCAATCTATTCTCTGTCTTTCATCCATTAGTCTCTCTCCCCTCTCCCCTTGTGTGTGTGTTTACTGTCGTTTTGACAGTGTATAGGTCTCAAGTGCCAGTCTACACAATGTGACCAGTAAACTGTTATGATGAATGAATGGAAAGTTGTCCACACACTTTTTTATTGATGTGGATATACAGCCTCCACCCTCTCTCTCTCTCTCTCTCTCTCTCTCTCTCTCTCTCTCTCTCTCTCTCTCTCTCTCTCTCTCTCTCTCTCTCTCTCTCTCTCTCTCTCTCCCTCCCTCTCTGTCTCAAACACAAACACACACACACACACATTAAAACATTCACATTTAGAACACATTTTACTGACAGCAATGACAGCAAGTGTCACATTACTGATAACAAGCACTGTAAATGTCTCCACTGATGTGCCAACAGGCTGGCTAACAGACCCCATCCCACTGGCAGCATTAGCAGATCTACTATAACTATCGCATTATGTTTGGTGTGTGAAAGGTTTATGTAAAAAAAAAAAAAAAACACTTTCATAAATGAGGAAGTGGGAGTAGGATGAGTGGGAGTAATGTATTAAACAGGAGAGGGCTTTTGGGTGTGAAAGCTGTCGATAATTCCTGCTAGACTAGCGTAAAGGAAATTTGATAAAAAGTAGCAAGCAGCACAAGCTAATGACTGATAAGTATTACAACATGACTGCAGCATGACAGAATTAACAGGTCAAAGGTAGGGCCCTAAACACATTGAACAGGTCATTCATATGAAAAGGATATTATGCACTACAGCCCTTACAACGTGTTTTTTTTTCTATCAAATTTATTTGACAAGGCATGTAGATTGTTAAGAAATTAGAGACTCACTGACACTATACACATCAAATTTACTGACTACTCCCTCTCAACTCTACCTCTGAGTTCATTCTGTCCCGAAGCTGCTGTTGACTACGGGTCTCTGGCCCCCTATACCCAAACCCCCCTGGCCCCCCTGGAAAGCTGGTCCAGGAAGACAGGAGGCAGTACAGAGGGGGTGCAGTCCTGTGATGAAAGGGGCCTCCCCCTTTGAGGGGCCTATCAGGAGCCCCTCATAACCCTAGCACTAAACTGCGCTCTCATTCACAACATTATGGGGCCCACCTCCATCTTCCTGCGCAAGAGCCTGGCCGATATCAGGCAGGCTGTAAGTAAGTCTGGACACACACAGACACATATACACTGAGTATACCAAACATTAAGAACACCTTTCTAATATTGAGTTGCACCCCCTTTTGCCCTCAGAACAGCCTCAATTCGTTGGGGCATGGACTCTACAAGGGGTCGAAAGCGTTCCACAGGGATGCTGGCCCATGTTGACTCCAATGCATCCCACAGTTGTGTCAAGTTGGCTGAATGTCCTTTGGGTGGTGGACCATTCTTGATACACACGGGAAACTGTTGAGCGTGAAAAACCCAGCAGCATTGCAGTTTCTTGACACAAACCTGTACGCCTGGCACCTACTACCATACCTGTTCATAGGCACTTACGTTTTTTGTGTTGCCCATTCACCCTCTGAATGGCACACATAAATCCACGTGTGTTATCTCAACGCTTAAAAATCCTTCTTTAACCTGTCTCCTCCCCTTCATCTACACTGATTGAAGTGGATTTAACAAGTGACATCAATAAGGGATCATAGCTTTCATCTGGATTAACCTGGTCAGTCTATGTCATGGAAAGAGCAGGTGTTTTTAATGTTTTGTATACTTAGTGTACATTGATGTATCAATGTGTATGTGTGTGTGTGTGTGTGTTAAATGCAACCAGACATGAGGTGTGTGGCAGATAGAGTACAAATATGTGGATGAGACTGTAAACAGGGACTTACCTACCTGGAGCTACTGTATTCCTTGCCCAACGCTCTGTGTTTTACATTCTATGTTTGTGTTGTGACTGATGTCAAAAGAAACCCCCGCGCTTTGTGTGACATTATTGGATTAATTTAGGATTCTGATGGCTGCTTTATGTTTAGCCTAATATATTTCATTGGGCCACTCTGGTTCCGGTCAGACAGTCCTTTGGGCCTGACGTCAGAGTTGACGCTGTGTTTACAGTTCTCCCTGCAGATTAACCCCTAAGGTTTCTGGAATATGTCTCTCTCTCTCTCTCTCTCTCTCTGTCCTCTATATCCTTTAAAGGTTGCTTTCATCATAAGCAAGAGCTGAAAAAAGAACACAGCTACATTCCTTGCAGACTGAAAGAGATGCGTTTCCCGGTTGTGCTCTGTCTCTAATGACGCTGGGAGCAGTCTGAACGGATGTCATTAAGATATTTGAAACATTCCAGTGACTATATAGCTATTGTCCCTTGCTTGAGTTCCACCAGAATAGATAGAGGATTATCATGGAGCAGACTGCAGATTCACCTTTTGAAGTCACTATGTTCCTGGTATTGTTAACATCAGATAGTGTAAGAATATAATGTGATGGACTTTGACGATTGTTTTCTCTAAATGACTTAATCATAATCTTTATTTATTAATTGTCAACTTAATTTTATTGGAAGTTCTGATTACACTGACACTGTCTTCTTTGCCCCAATAGGACAGAGACCTGAGGCCAGAGGAGATTGATGGTAAATTGTTTTTCATTTATGTTCCTGTGCTTGTCTCTCTGTAGTTGTGTCTCTGGTAGTGGCAGTAGTTTTCAGATTACCGCAGAGTAATCTTTCTCTGTATTCTCTCTGCAGAGTTGCGGGATGCTTTTAAGGAGTTTGATAAGGACAAAGACGGTTTCATCAGCTGTAAAGACCTGGGAAACTGTATGAGAACCATGGGATACATGCCTACTGAAATGGAGTTGATAGAACTGAGCCAACAGATCAACATGAATTGTAAGAGTGTGCCCTAGTCTAGATATTTGCAATACAGGTACATTACACCATGGTTTGCTAATTCCCTCCCCTAACATCTTCTCTTTCCCTCGTTCATTCTCTTTTTGGGAAGTGGGAGGTCATGTCGACTTTGAGGATTTTGTAGAGTTGATGGGCCCCAAACTTCTCGCTGAAACTGCAGATATGATTGGTGTGAAAGAACTAAGAGATGCCTTCAAAGAGGTGAGAAACTGGATTGCCAGAGAGAGGGAGGAGAGGGTGATTACGGAGAGAAGTAGTTATGTTGCCTGTCTATCTAATATTTCATGATCTGGATTATGAATGTGATCATTTGTTTTTTTCCTCATGAAGTTTGACACCAATGGTGATGGAGCGATAAGCACAGCTGAGCTGAGAGAAGCCATGAGGAAGTTGCTGGGACAACAGGTGAGGTTACAGATTGAAGTCTGTCTGAGTAGCTTAATCGATGTATGCATCACTACTAAAAACGGTTTGTTTTACACACACTTATTCCTCCTATGTTACTGGACTGTAGGTTGGCCACAAGGACTTAGAGGATATTCTGAGGGACATCGACTTGAATGGTGATGGGCATGTTGACTTTGAAGGTAAACTGATGCAGGGTTTGTTTATCTATACCAACAGAATAATAAAATCACAGAAAATATTGTAATAGCTAGAGATTTTGCTATTTATGCTGTGTGCAAGCTAGTCTCCAGCTGATGGGACAGGAGTGCTTCATGAATGCTTGATGTTGACTGGTCTTCCTTACTCTTCAATTTCATTATATTTCCTTCCTCTTATCCACTTTCTGGCAAAGCTTCAAATAGATTTGACATTTGCAAACTGTCTGTTTCAACCATGTAAGGAAAGTGTGGTTTCCTCCTGTGTTTTCCTTATGACAGCGAGAACACAATCCCTACAGTGAGGGAAAAAAGTATTTGATTCCCTGCTGATTTTGTACGTTTGCCCACTGACAAAGAAATGATCAGTCTATAATTTTAATGGTAGGTTTATTTGAACAGTGAGAGACAGAATAACAAAAAAATCCAGAAAAACGCATGTCAAAAATGTTATAAATTGATTTGCATTTTAATGAGGGAAATAAGTATTTGACCCCCTCTCAATCAGAAAGATTTCTGGCTCCCAGGTGTCTTTTATACAGGTAACGAGCTGAGATTAGGAGCACACTCTTAAAGGGAGTGCTCCTAATCTCAGTTTGTTACCTGTATAAAAGACACCTGTCACGGTTCTCTAAGACAGAACCCAGAAGCAGACCAGGACACGGTGAGTTGAACGAAGGTGAGGGTTTATTTACAGATTCAAAAGATGCAGAATAATCCAGGAGACGGAGCGGGTGGCGGAGATGAGTAGATGGAGGTGAAGTGGCAGATTAAATGATGGCACGGCAGGGGTTGGGTGAAGGTTCCGGGAGAATGACTGTAGACAGAAAAAACTGAGGTAAGTACAAGGCAGGTCAATAAGGTGCAAAAACAACAAAACTAACGCTAGTACTCAGAGGCTGATACGCTGACAAAACATACTGTTAATGGCTAATGATCCGGCAGGGAATGGATGTCAGGTCAGAGTTTAAGAAGGGGTGATGATCAGGACCAGGTGTGCCGAGGCTGATGAGAAGCAGGTGCGGTTAATCGAGAGATCACCTGCCTAGCAACGTCGCCCGGCAACCGGACAGGGTGCGTTCAGGCACCTACAGGAAACAGGAGATACCGAGCAGAAAAACGGCAACACAGGCAGGAACAGACTCAGGACGCAGGGTTCATGACAACACCTGTCCACAGAAGCAATCAATCAATCAGATTCCAAACTCTCCACCATGGCCAAGACCAAAGAGCTCTCCAAGGATGTCAGGGACAAGATTGTAGACCTACACAAGGCTGGAATGGGCTACAAGACCATCGCCAAGCAGCTTGGTGAGAAGGTGACAACAGTTGGTGCGATTATTTGCAAATGGAAGAAACACAAAATAACTTTCAATCTCCCTCGGCCTGGGGCTCCATGCAAGGTGGAAACATTATGCTTTTGGGGGTGTTTTTCTGCTAAGGGGACAGGACAACTTCACCGCATCAAAGGGACGATGGACAGGGCCATGTACCGTCAAATCTTGGGTGAGAACCTCCTTCCCTCAGCCAGGGCATTGAAAATGGGTTGTGGATGGGTATTCCAGCATGACAATGACCCCAAATCACACGGCCAAGGCAACAAAGGAGTGGCTCAAGAAGAAGCACATTAATGTCCTGGAGTGGCCTAGCCAGTCTCCAGAACTTAATCCCATAGAAAATCTGTGGAGGGAGCTGAAGGTTCGAGTTGTCAAACGTCAGCCTCGAAGCCTTAATGACTTGGAGAAGTTCTGCAAAGAGGAGTGGAACAAAATCCCTCCTGAGATGTGTGCAAACCTGGTGGCCAACTACAAGACACGTCTGACCTCTGTGATTGCCAACAAGGGTTTTGCCACCAAGTACTAAGTCATGTTTTGCAGAGGGGTCAAATACTTATTTCCCTCATTAAAATGCAAATCAATTTATAACATTTATTACATGCGTTTTTCTGGATTTTTTTGTTTGTTATTCTGTCTCTCACTGTTCAAATAAACCTACCATTAAAATTATAGACTGATCATTTCTTTGTCTGTGGGCAAACGTACAAAATCAGCAGGGGATCAAATACTTTTTTCCCTCACTGTATACCCCAATCCTTAGACTGGTAAATCCATTATGATACAGTATTCAATATGTATGTCGGCTGTAGACAACTATGGGGCCCCACTGGTCACTGTGACTCAAATATAGACATGTGCAGTAACATATGAAACTGTCCACTTTCACCCATAGTCTGCATGTCCTATGCATATTTTAACACACACACACACACAGACTGAACTTCTAATATTTGACAGATCTTATCGTCTCTTTTCACAGAGTTTGTACGAATGATGTCCCGCTGAGAGGAGGAATGGTCGATATGGCTTCAAGTTATTTATGCTGAATGTGAACCTCTGTCCTTTTGTCATCATCATCGAATGAGCAAAACGGAGGAAACACTAGGACCTCTGAGCTATCTTTTCCTGAGAAAAACTGGAATTAAAGCCCTTACCTCTAAGGAGAAATGGAAGACCACGGTACTCCTCAAAATAGTGTTCTTCCCTAAAAGTCCCACATTCCAACTGAGACAGATTCTACTGTAGCTTACAGACTGACCCGCTAATGGTTTCCACACTATTAACCCTCCACAAACTGTATACACTTGTGTGTAGCCTGCTGTTTAGGCAAGTTTAGTTTCTCAACCTTTAAATGGCAATATTACTTGTGACAACTGATATGTTCTTCAAGTTTGGGTAATAGAGTGAGAAAAGCAGAGAGTGTTATTTGTGTGTATGTGTTTGTCACTGTGATCTTTTGTGAGGTGATCACTGTGTTTACCCAGCACCATAAAAGCACCGGATCCTCTCTAATGCACTGGGTTTATAGGACAAGCAAGAGCTAAGAGGACCTCAGCAAACACGCCAACCCCAGATCTGGAAAATAGTAGCTTTTCTTCACATTTGTGTGCAGTGCACTCATAAAAAAACATGATGGTTTATGTGTACAGTATCTTGTCTTTCTGTCTGTGTGTCTGTCTGTTGGTACAGTTTGACAAGAAATTGCGGAGTCCTAGTATGTCATTGTGCTGTTTTTATGCATGCCAGAGACAAACCTTATTTGAAATACAGTATGTATCTGTATGGGTGTGACACAGTAAATGTAATACATTGTCTAATGTATATAGTACAGTCGTGGTCAAAAGTTTTGAGAATGACACAAATAGTAATTTTCACAAAGTCTGCTGCCTCAGTATTGATGATGGCAATTTGCATATACTCCAGAATGTCATGAAGAGTGATCAGATGAATTGCAATTAATTGCAAAGTCCCTCTTTTCCATGAAAATGAACTTAATCACAAAAAAACTTTTCCACTCTTATTTCAGCCCTGCCACAAAAGGACCAGCTGCCATCATGTCAGTGATTATTTCGTTAACACAGGTGAGAGTGTAGACGAGGACAAGGCTGGAGATCACTCTGTCATGCTGATTGAGTTAGAATAACAGACTGGAAGCTTTAATAGGAGGGTGGTGCTTGAAATCATTGTTCTTCCTCTGTTAACCATGGTTACCTGCAAGGAAACACGTGCCGTCATCATTGCTTTGCACAAAAAGGGCTTCACAGGCAAGGATATTGCTGCTAGTAAGATAGCACCTAAATCAACCATTTATCGGATCATCAAGAACTTCAAGGAGAGAGGTTCAATTGCTGTGAAGAAGGCGTCAGGGCGCCCAAGAAAGTCCAGCAAGCGCCAGGACCGTCTCCTAAAGTTGATTCAGCTGCGGGATCTGGGCACCACCAGTGCAGAGCTTGCTCAGGAATGGCAGCAGGCAGGTGCGAGTGCATCTGCACGCACAGTGAGGCGAAGACTTTTGGAGGATGGCCTGGTGTCAAGAAGGGCAGCAAAGAAGCCACTTCTCTCCAGGAAAAACATCAGGGACAGACTGATATACTGCAAAAGGTATAGGGATTGGACTGCTGAGGACTGGGGTAAAGTCATTTTCTCTGATGAATCCCCTTTCCGATTGTTTGGGGCATCCGGAAAAAAGCTTGTCCGGAGAAGACAAGGTGAGCGCTACCATCAGTCCTGTGTCATGCCAACAGTTAAGCATCCGGAGACCATTCATGTGTGGGGTTGCTTCTCAGCCAAGGGAGTGCACTCACTCACAATTTTGCCTAAGAACACAGCCATGAATAAAGAATGGTACCAACACATCCTCCGAGAGCAACTTCTCCCAACCATCCAAGAACAGTTTGGTGACGACCAATGCCTTTTCCAGCATGATGGAGCACCTTGCCATAAGGCAAAAGTGATAACTAAGTGGCTCGGGGAACAAAACATTGTCATTTTGGGTCCATGGCCAGGAAACTCCCCAGACCTTAATCCCATTGAGAACTTGTGGTCGATCCTCAAGAGGCGGGTGGACAAACAAAACCCCACAAATTCTGACAAACTCCAAGCATTGATTATGCAAGAATGGGCTGCCATCAGTCAGGATGTGGCCCAGAAGTTAATTGACCAGCATGCCAGGGCGGATTGCAGAGGTCTTGAAAAAGAAGGGTCAACACTGCAAATATTGACTCTTTGCATAAACATAATGTAATTGTCAATAAAAGCCTTTGATTCCTATGGAATGCTTGTAATTATACTTCAGTATACCATAGTAACATCTGACAAAAATATCTCATAACACTGAAGCAGCGAACTTTGTGAAGACCAATACTTCTGTCATTCTCAAAACTTTTGACCACGACAGTAGGCTACGCAATCTACTAAAAATAAATGTCTACTTGTGAACCTCTGTTTTTTTTTCCAGTGATGCAATAAGTCCCAGGGCTATAGCCATATGCTGTAAAGCCAGGAAAGAAGAGATAGATTTAACTATTTCAATACAAGACAAACATGTAATGGGCCTATACTAGGGGCTACTGTGAAGTGAAGAAATGTCACACAAGGACATTGGACTGACACATTAAACCTTCTTTTTTTTGTTGCATAATAGACAAACAATACAAAGAAATAGGCCTAGACCATTCTGGGCTCAAACAATATCAAAACTAAAGAAAACATTCAAACAGAGATGGCTAAAGGTCGACCTCGACAGAACATAAATGATTTGGAGACTACCGGTATTAACGTTTTTGTGTTATTAGCGGGAACAGGATCCGAGACAGAGACGTTTTCATGGTACCGGGACACAACACTGGTGCGCGAATGAGTGGCTGGCTGGGAACAGAAGAACAAGTTGTCATGGCAACTGTCTGCTCCTCCACCTGGATCAGCAGGAGCGGCGCAGCATCTCTCTTCTTTGTTCACTATTGTCTGTCTTGACAGGACCCAAAATCTGGACGGGCTCCATCGTGTGGTAAATGTCTAGACTAACATTTTGTTTTGAGTTCTTGATGTTCTCAATTTTCGAAATTCAAGAGACACAACTGGCTCATCGCTAGCATACAGCTAGCTACAACAGGTGTAGACCTTACCGTGAAACTCTTACTTACAAGCCCTTAACCAACAATGCAGTTTTAAGAAAAATAAGAGTTAAGAAAACGTTTACTAAATAAACTAAAGTTTAAAAAAGTAACACAATAAAATAACAGTAACGAGGCTATATATAGGGGGTACCGGTACCAAGTCAGTGTGCGGGGATACAGGTTAGTCGAGGTAATTGAGGTAATATGTACATGTAGGGAGAGGTAAAGTGACTATGCATAGATAATGAACAGCAAGTAGCACCAGCATAAAAAATAAAAAAGGGGGGTCAATGCAAATAGTCCAGGTAGCCATTTAATTAACTCTTCAGGAGTGTTATGGCTTGGGGGTAGAAGCTGTTAAGGAGCCTTTTGGACCTAGACTTGGCGGTCTGGTACCACTTGCCGTGCAGTAGCAGATAGAACAGTCTATGACTAGGGTGGCTGGAGTCTTTACCATTTTTAGGGCCTTCCTCTGACACCGCCTGGTGATGTACTGGGCCATACGCACTACACTCTGTAGCGCCTTGCGGTCGGATGCCGAGCAGTTGCCATACCAGGCGGTGATGCAACCAGTCAGGATGCTCTTGATGGTGCAGCTGTATAACTTTTTGAGGATCTGAGGACCCATGCCAAATCTTTTCAGTCTCCTGAGAGGGAATAGGCGTTGTCGTGCCCTCTTCTCGACTGTCTTGGTGTGCTTGGACCATGTTAGTTTGTTGGTGATGTGGACACCAAGGAACTTGAAGCTCTCGACCTGCTCCACTACAGCCCTGTCGATGTGAATGGGGGTGTGCTCAGCCCTCCTTTTCCTGTAGTCCACAATCAGCTCCTTTGTCTTGATCACATTGAGGGATAGGTTGTTGTCCTGGCACCACACTGCCAGGTCTCTGACCTCCTCCCTATAGGCTCTCATCGTTGTTGGTGATCAGGCTATTATTAGGCTTTTATTAGCAGTTCGTCATGTCTATTTTAATATTGAGGAATATTTCACTTTCTCTGGTCATAGCATGAATTTGTGCATGAGGCAGATGCAATGCGACTCGAGTTTCGCCATCAGGTGGAAGACATTGTCCCCTCTCTCTGGTCAGTCTCACCACTGAGACTAAACTCAAGCTTTGATAACAAAATACATCTCTGACTTCAGTCCGTTCAAGACAACTGGGAACTTGGGGAAAAAACGAGATCCGACTGGGAAAAATCGTTTTGAACGGACATCCAACTTGGAATTCCAAGACGGAAACTCAGCATCTTTCTAGAGCTCCGACTTTCCGACCTGAAGATCACTGACATCATGATTTTAACCTATTTCCCCCTCCTCAAGTTCCCAGTTGTCTTGAAAGCACCATAACCATCAGATGCAGTTCCATCAGTCCAGTAAAATAAAAAAGCAAATGATTAGCAAATTATTTCAATTTATGCTCAGCTGTGCCTTGCACGTGCTACACCAACTGATCTATTTTGTTATCAAAGCTTGAGTTTTGAAATAGCCTATAATATGGTCTGAGAAGAACAATATTGGCAGGCCAGGTATAGGCCAATAGCGACTATGCTGTGATAATGTATTAGGCCACATTCCTACAGAACTATTTTTGCTTTTTGACTGCGAAAGTGATCCTGACTCCTGACAGGTTGGTGACCACTGTTCTAAACCATACTAAACTATCTTTGCCCAGAGAGCACTCATATGAAATCTAAGCGTCAATTGTTACTACGGCAACGTTATTTCTTCATTCATTCTTTTTGACAAACCAAGGGCGCTCTGCAAGCGCGCTGCGTTGGGCTCTCCTGATTGGCCAAGATTTAAGACATCAGTTAAGTTCAAGGTCGTCTATATTGTAGTAGCGCAGCGCCGATTATCAGATCCCAAAATGCCTGAGAGGGGGTTTTAATTTATCGTGAGCCACATTGCTTAGTATCATATTAATGTTCTTCCCGAGAAGTTAAACACTTCTCCTGGCATTGTGAGATCGGATCATCTGCACAGCACAACTACAATAAATGCGACCTGGAATAGGGCCACTGCAATACAGTCGTTTAAACCATTTTTGTGATTAGGGGAATCGTCCTTCAAGTTTGCACAAAATAAATCGCATACATGTGGACTGCAAATGTATTTTTTAATGACATTCGTATATATATTGTATTCTAAATGTTTCATTTTCGAAGATTAATACAATTACGAAAAACTCCCATTAGGTGTGTGTACCTTTCACTTTCTGCATTTTCCCAACTAAACAGCGTTGCACCTCAAACATATACAGTGGTTGTATGGAATTGTATTTGATTCACGAATCCGATGCATTTTCTATGAATATGCTAAACATTCTATACATATATAGAAATGGTTCAGTAATGCCATGTGATTGGTTGTCTCTTCAGTCATCCACTCCCTCTACTGTGAACCAGCAAGTTCACACGCTCTCTCTCGCCTCAGCCTTCATGCACTGTTTGTGCCTCTGAGGAAATCAACGTCAGTCATACCGGTTTGGTAGAGAATACTAAACGGTCATTGCTGTCAATGAGAGCTGCAGTGTAGATTGTGGACTATTCGATTTACATCTTAAAGCAAACAGGCATAGAAGCAAGTTGCACCAAGGATTTTGAAATGTAAGAACATCATATTCCGCTAGAGCTTCTGGGAATGTTGATGACCGAGCAAGAAGAAGTCAGCTAGCAAGCCAGAGATAGCTTATAGCTACTCTAGTTAGTTATAGTAAAGGCCAACGAGGCTGTTCGTTTAGCTGAGAGTATTGGAGATTTAGCCATGTTTAGTGTTGGCGAACATTTGCCAGCTGCAACCATTCATCAGTCATACTTGGCTAATGTTAGCCAGGTAGCTAGCTACCTAAATATATTTGACTACCATATCTGGGGAGGGGAGGGTTTTGTGCTGTCATTCATGCTAGTTGGCTAGCTAGCTACAATTGATGCCTTCTCTCACACAGCTTCCTTGGGCCAACTCGTGTGTGTCTGCTTGTACCAAGCTGTGTATGGCAATGCGGCGGGTAACGGTGCCATTGGTCGCCGGGCTGGTCGTGGTGGTGTTGTCGCTGCTGGCTGAACACTGTTGGGCGGATGGTGGGGGCCCAAGCCTTGCTGAACGAGTTATTTGGGCAGTGAACGCTGGCGGGGAAGCTCATACAGACATGCATGGCATTAATTTCAAGAAGGATCCATTGGAAGGAAAGCTTGGGAAAGGTGAGTCTATGTAGGCATGGCTGGGTCATCAAAATGGCCCTATTAGCTTGGCTAACTATTTCCTGTTAATAATAGCAAAGGTGACTGCTAAATTGAATTGAACGCTTTAGGCAGCTAGTCAGATCTGTGTGAAATGAGCTACAATTGTAACCATTTGGCTAAAAGCAAGTTAAATATTTGCTTCTGCCAGAGGGTGATCATGTTGTTGTAGAGATTTGTATTTCCCATAAGAAGATATGTAAAGCTAACTCATGCATGGTTTTGACTTCCGCTATTGAAGCTATTTAACCCAATGAAGAGTCTGCATTAGTAGGGCTGTCATATTTGTTGAGCTTCTCCCTCGTAATTGAAGCACCTCATGGAAGAATAGTAAACCCAACTGTGATAATGACTGATGATATTCAGAAATGTATTTCTTTAAAAGTAATTGGAAACTAATAACATGAGCAGTTAACAGTAAAGTATAATGAGGTAAAGGATGCATTGATGAAATTTCATGTTTGATGTTGGATTATAGCAACTATGCTTAGTTCCACTGCATGTTCATTGATTTTTAAAAACACTTCATTCTGAAGGACATTTCATATTGTTTCTGACATCCATCCCACTAAAACTAAAGACCAAATGGGTCTGTCTGCAAATAGAAACCAGACAGCTAAGGAAACACTGACACTTGACACAGGTATATCGCCTCCCACTTGCCAGAACAGATACATCATGAATATTTTAACATGCCAAGCTATGGTTAGCCAGCAAGTTTGCATCTCACGTTTTTAAAAGGACCTTATCAGCCATAAAATGCATGTGCTATTTTCCTGGTTTTCACAGTTTGTGTGCAAATACAGTACAATAAATAAATGTATGCAGGTATCACTATACTGTTCGAGTACATGGGTAAGCAAATGGGTTTGTATTGTGTAAGCTTATGTAAGGAGTGTGTTGGGTGCATATGTGACAGAATTGCTTATAAATCGACAACGTAGTGAACAATCTACTCTGTATTTCCCTCTAGCTTCAGATTATGGAGTGCGTCTGCCCATATTGCGCTCTAGTCCCGAGGACCAGATTCTCTACCAGACAGAACGCTACAATGAGGATACTTTTGGCTATGAGGTGCCGATTCGTGAGGAAGGAGACTATATACTTGTCATGAAGTATGCAGAGGTCTACTTTGCCCAGTCTCAACAGAAGGTACGACTCAGATTCCAATCAAATCATCAAAATATGTTTTCTGTTTACATCTCAAAGTTATCACGCCTGTAAACATGAAGTCATAGTAATGTTATTCTAATTTGGCAGCAAATAATGTTGTTCAACTTAGATGATGTTGATAGTCTCCAAAAAAAGACAGTTTCCAACAGATGTTTTATTGCAAGGTAATTGATTACAAACTTTGACAAACTTGTGCACTTTGGACTGAGGATGTCTCATGCTATTTTCATGTTGCAAATCTGTCTGACTGAAATTATCCATTCTCTAGGTATTTGACGTGCGTCTTAATGACCATGTGGTGGTGAAAGATCTGGATATCTTTGAGCGGGTGGGTCACAGTACAGCTCATGATGAGATTGTGCCCTTCTCCATACGCCGCGGTAAGCTGAGTGTCCAGGGGGAGGTGTCCACCTTCAACGGCAAGCTCACTGTGGAGTTTGTCAAGGTGAGTTGACACAGCCAAAGTGTGTCACTGCTCAATGTTTTCTCCTCTCCTCCTGACCCATTAAAAAAATATTTTTCAGATGCATCCTCAAATTAAACAGTCAAGTACAAAATTGTCTTACCTGCACACAACTCTGAATGTATGTTTGTTTATGATTTTCTCTGTGTCACTAATCTTTTTTTGTGCAAATAATGGTAGGACAGTGTTTCTCTGCATGTTCATTCGACACATGGCTTTATCTCTGCTGTGAACTGATAACCTGCCCTATGTTTTCTCAGGGTTATTACGACAACCCCAAGGTCTGTGCTCTGTACGTGTTGAAGGGGACATTAGATGGTGAGCCTCATCAGTCTATTAACAGGAGAATCTTCAGCAGTGCCAGTCAAAAATAGGACTTTCTAAGATGTTGTCTTTATAATTCTGAAATTATTAAAACAATTATAATGGCATGTCGTATTATTACAAAATTATTGCTCCCTTTTTTGTTTTAATCTCGCATTCCTTTTCAATAACATTATTAATTGGCTGCTCAATTAATTAATTGTATGCACAATCCAGTCTAAAGACATCACACCCTCTCCTCAATGTCTTACCTCTAAATTCTGTATGAACTTAATTTCACTCAACCCTATCTTTAAACCCATGATATCTCCCATATCTATATTTTCTGCATCTCAGATGTACCAAAACTCCAGCCTCACCCTGGACTGGAGAAACGTGAAGAACTTGAGGAGGAGGAGGACGAGGAGACTGAGGCAGGAGAGGAGGGTGGTAAGAAGAGTACCACAACAGCTCCCAAGTACAGGGTCCAGTCAGGCCCCAGAACGCCAAACCCGTATGCGGCCGACAATAGCAGCCTCATGTTCCCTATCCTGGTGGCGTTCGGGGTGTTCATACCTACACTCTTCTGCCTGTGTCGGCTGTGAGAATGTAAAATAGAGGGGGAAACAGGGGACATGATGGACAAGAGACTGAAGAGGGAGGGGGGGGGGGTCAAAGTGACATCAGAGACACAAGGAAAGGCAAGCAAGCAAACAGACAGGAGAGAGCATGAGAGCCAATGGTGATAACAGAGGACAAAAAAGAGACAACAAATTTGGAATGCAGGCGACAGAATAAAATGCCTTCCTCACTGACTTTAAGGTCACGCAGAGAAAAGGGGATGTAGAGAGTGAGTTTGTGTGTGTTGTACACATTTTCACCATGTTGTACATTACCACATCGCAAAGACATGATCTCACATGAGACAGGATTGACCACTTTCAAACCAGGTTTGTCTTGTCTTGCAGGAAGAGGCTGGGACTATACTGAGGGGTGCTGAAATGTGATTGGCTGTCCCTCTTTATAGACTAGTATGGCTTTGGATGAGGTGTGGCTTGACTGCAGATAGTATTTAGTCAGATGGTACAGGAGGTGATATCCAGAAAATTTACTGATTCTTAAAAATGTGTTTTAGAGAATGCGTGTTTGGAGGGGGCGGTGGGAGATGGTTGCCAATGCGGTCAGTTAGGCTTTTGAATGTTGTTTTTGCTCGCTTTTTTTTACTTTATTTTTGTTCTTGATTATCTCCAAACATGCTAATGTTGTAAAGCTAAAATTTATTTGAGCTTTTGATACTTAAGCTGTGCCATAATTTGTTAAGAAAAATAACATACTAATAATTTCAACAAGTCTGTACTGTTACAGCCTCAGCTTATTCTATAGCAGAGAAATTATGTGTTTCATGTGCTGTTTGAAATGAAGGCTAATTGTGTTTTCACATCCAAGGTGGGTTTCACAATTATGTTGCATAATGTGTTTAAAATTGCAAGTTTCCTCAAATGTGATACTAGCAGGTACCTTTTTGAGACAGCTAGACTATGGAGTTATCAGAAATTGCAGGGTAAGAGTGCAGGGCTTGACATTAACTTTTTTAGCCACTTGTCCTTTGGACAAGTAGGACAGATGTTCTTTTTTTTACTTGTCCAAAAGCTCAAGTCACATGTCCAAAAATAAAAAATGGTCTGTAACACATCTTTTACATAATTGTAAGATGCAAGGAATCACTTTACAAAATAAAATGCATTTATATCTTTTTTTATCATAGGGAATGAGACAAAAATGTAGGCTACACTCTGCCTATTGGCTTCTTTGCATATTCAAGCCTGTCTCAAAACACAACACTGCCCCTTTAAGGCTCTCCTGGAGGATGGTTGGCCAATGGCCACCCTTGGTAGCCTATAAAATATTGCAACATTACGATTACAACCAAATACTTTCTTGTCTTTATAAAATAATTCCCTCCAGGGCTCGAGATTAAGGGACGATAAAAAATGTATATGGTTCAAAACAGACTAAAAAAGCAATGAGGCTGATGCAACAGATCAGAACGTTTAGCTTAAAATGTTGATAAAGTATTATTTCTTCATATTATAAGCTCAACAATGTGCTCATGGCTGTAGGCTATGCGGGAAGGTTCCAAAATGCAATTAGCGGGAAAACACTTGCCAAAAGCACACCACACGCGTGAGCGGTTTCATGTGATAGAGATAAAAATATATGTTAGAAATTAAGAAAGAGGGGAGATCTAAAGATGCATCAACTAGCATGGGTTACTTATATGACTAGGATTATGCCTTTGGCTGCTGGACATAATTTTTTTTGAAAACCAATAGAACATTTGGCATGTTAGGTGTTTCTAAAATAATTATTTCAAAATGTCTATGGTTGTATTTTGGCTAGGCTAGGCCACTTTTAAACAAGGTAAGCAATGCTTCATAAAATGACATAAAACGTCCAGGTTTTAAACAAGTTTATGGTTAAATAGTTAAATGCTGACCGCCTCCGCTCAGATTCAAGGTGGGTGATGTGCGGTGCGCAACAGGCACTGTCCTTCACTCTCCGGTCTTGTGACCATTTCATCTGAACGAACCGTGCTTCGAGTATGTCGACATAATCAAGCCTTTAGATGTTAATGCTAATTATCCTGCATTATAATTGTCAAAAATGACTGACGTTTAGCCTATATTTCTGTCATTAAAAGTCTCATTAAAGTTTGGCTACATTTTCTGTCACCTCCCTCATGTCAGCATCGGTTTGGACATAAGGCTGTAGCCAATATGCATATCACCTACACTTTGACATGTAGGCTTTTTAATTTATGTATATGAAAAATAGATTTGAATATTATTCCAATGTTGGCCTCTGATTTAATTCTGATCTGAGTAATTGTTGGATAATGTGATTTTTTTTACTTGTCCATTCGGACAACTAAAATCAATATTGTTCTTGTCCCGGACAAGAGGACAAGCCTTAATGTCGAGCCCTGGAGTGTTTGAATCCTTTGAGGGTTTACATGGTTTTTAATCACATTGATGAAACCCTCTAACTTGTATGGGTTTTCCACTTAACGGTACATGGCTTGGTTTTCATCTGGTGAAAGGCCACCTCTGAAAGATAGTAAAATAGTTCAGAGTGATTTAGTTACATTGCCAACACCGAGGGACCTGGTAATTTAACAAATTCTCAAGCGAGTGGGACCGATCCCAATTCAGGAACATGTCTGAATTGTCACAGAGATGCATGTAGTGTAGTCCTTTGTCATGGTCACTGCCTTTTCCACTCATGACTGTGCATGCCTTCTTTTGATTCACCAAAGTGTTTTGTGTTGTAGAATTTTGTTCCATAAATCTCCTAGTAATCCTCCGTTCATAACACTGTGATTGATATGTTTTTGTTTTTTAACTCACAATGTTGGTGCTGGAGTGATGATTAAGTACTAGGTCAAGATATAACGTAAACATTAGAGAAGTTATCCCAATACAATTTGGGTCATTAGGATGAATAATAACCGGAAGGTCCTAAGTATTCTTTTGGATTGATTTACTATTTATGTAAAGTCCTCATTTTGAAAGACTGCTGAATTATTTTAGTATATTGGAATGTAAACTTAGGACTTACAATTGTGTTTGTGTGTGTGTGTGTGTGTGTGTGTGTGTGTGTGTGTGTATATGTGTGTATATGTGTGTCAGCTATCCATAGCTAAACAGCTACCTAGAGGGTTAGAAAGTGAAATGAGGGGAGTTAACTAGTTCTTTCTATGTTAAATATATTTTGCTGAGGCAAACCAAGATTGTCAATGGTAGCCTAAATTGAAACTGTCTTTGAGTAGAAAGCTTGAGAGCAGCCTTCTTAACAATTATTTTATTGCATTTTGTGACATTTTTTAATTATGATATTCCCAGAGAAAAGTGTTTCTAAAAGCCTGCACACTTTTAGAACTAATTTGGGGAGCTATCAGTCAAATCAACATGACATAAAAACAATGTGCTTGCACCAGTCTTAATCATGATCTATATTCACTGTGCACCTGTGAGTAGATATGGTTGTGTGTGCATGTTTCACTATTGGGAATATTTTCCCTCTTCCCCATCCCATCTCTCCATTAAATAATATTTGTTAAGTTTAGGCCTGTTTTTTTTTGTCTCATCAATCCCTTCGATTCCTTTCAAAAGCTGTTTCAAAAAACTTGCCTTAAAGTGGACTGCAGCATTTTGTTATTACTAATCTCTAAGGTTTCCCACAGACATATCCATATATCCTTCAATACAGTTAGCCTGGAAGTCAGTAGCTGCATGTTTGCATTATTTGTGTGTGTGTCTAACTGCCTCTGTATCAGGAACATAGCTCTTTCCATGAGGGACAAATCTTTTACCAAGCCTATTTTACACTTGCCTCTCCACACTTGTCATTGGTTTTATACTTGCTGAATACTTGACAAATAGATGATCCAGGTGTTTTAAATTATCTCTCTCACTCCTGAGGTTTCCCCCTCCATGTTCCATGCTGCTGGAGCAAAAAAACAGCCAGGGAGAGGTTACGATACTTGATGGTTAGCTGATAGTTGTTGTTTTGTATTTAAAAATACAATCCGTATCTAATAAGACAGAAGCACCTTTGTTACTTATTTGAAAAAATGAAAAAAAGTTAATTTAATTCAGCACCTAAGTTATAATCTTTTGTTGGCTAATTGACATCTCTACACAGTTGCGTGTGTATATACTGTAAGGTACAATATCACACTTATTGTAGTGTGACAGCGGTTATTTTCTCATCTAAATATTGCTATTATTGAGGTGTTAGGGTTTTTTAATGGTTAATTTTAAAGAAAACTGTGGCCTTTCTGCTGGGGATGATTTACAATGGTGGCATTGTAGAAAAGAAAAGGTCTTGACTGACAAATACTGACTGTCAGGAAGAGATGAGATTGGCGAAGTATGGAATTCTTTACATGTATTGTATAATTTAAATAAGAAAGTGGGGTTTAATCTTGAGATATTTGCTTAATGATGTAATAAGGATTTGTAGCTTTTTATTTTTTCTCAGGTTCTGTTTTGCTTTACTTTTCACCAGGATGTTTTAGTGGTGTGAAATTTTGCACTGCTTGGTTTATTTTCAAAGCATTTGTCTGTCATTTGTTGTGTGTAATTTTTCTTTTTATTGAGTCCTTGTTGCCTTGATTTTTAATACATTTGTGCGTTATCAGTGTCTGCTTTTGAGGTTCCTTTTTTTGGTGTGCTTTTGATTACTTCATTGCATGTTTAATTATTTTTTTTGCCCACCAAAGTCCTAGTGTTCAAAAATCCTAACCTTATGTGAGCTCACCTAAGATAAGAACCAAATACTTGCTACATCACTCTCTCCCATTAGCCCTATTGAGGTACAGTTGGAACAACCATACACTCTTGTGCAGTCCAGTCTTATCACAGAATGAGAGTATGAATTAATTAGTGTGAATGTGTGAGAGAAAGCATCAATGTCAATAAGGAATCCTACTCAACGTATTGATTTCTCCCACCCCAGGAGGGCTTCAGGCTGCAGGCTTCAGGTGGACTGATGGAGTCATTTGAGATGCCCCCTCCTTACTCAGTTGTGGCTGTACAAATAACATCTACAAAGTGGGAACTGCTGATAAATGCTGGCTCTTTTTTTAATAAATGTGCTATTTTATCTAACTGATGTTTTGGCAAATTGTTTCCTTGTTTTGATTTATCTCATGTTTTACTATCCTTAGGGTTATTGTAGTACCCCTCGTGTAACTGAACAGTTCAACACTGTATATCGCTGAGATACTGTAGCCATCACAAGTAATGGGGAGACCTTAGAATTAGATTATATTTCTATATGGGAGACATGTAGAGCAAAATGACAGTAATGCAGATGAGAGATGTAAGAAGAGATGCTGTTACATTTTATATAAATGCAATGCATGGGCATACTACATTAGTATATTGAGCAAGTTGACCATACTTATGAAGTTGTACCATACTCAGCGGCGCGTTCAGCAGGACACAACGTTTTGGAACGTTAAGATAGAAATATAATATGTAGAACAAACATGTCTCTGACGTGTAGAACAAGGAATCATGTCGGCTTTATTGGTGGCATTTCTATCTGCAGTTTGGCAACTGAACGTGGCCGCTGGTGATCTCTAATTGGAATGCAATTTTTACCGCAGCGTTTCTAAACAGTCCGCCCTACTGGTAACTATGGTAACCTACTAGCGTTTTTCAGCCAATTACAATCGACTATTCTCAGCATGAGTTCTCCGTAGAGACGATTCGCCATCTTGAATTTAGTTAAAGTTGCAGACAGCCATCGACACAGTCGCCTCAACAAACACAAAACAACCAAGATATGAGCGGCTCTAACTCTCGAAACAAGACTGCAGCCACAGTCAAAGGACCGGACACCGATATCGGCCCAGCTGCAAATTCCAGGGAGCGAAAGTCCGGTGGAGGTGTGCTGAAGAGACTCAAATCGCGACGAAATCAAACCGATAAACAGCGGCCTGTTGTTACAGAAGACGAGCTAAGGGCGCTAGGAAGACACATCACACCGGACGAAGTCCTTGGTCTGCGTGTTGTTACACGGGGTAACGTTATGTTTAGAGCTGATGGTTGATGGGATTTGGATAAGATTCAAGTTAATGTATTCTACCTAACGTTAGCTTTGTTAGTGAACTAGCTAGCTAAGTTTGTACCAATGGTTTGAGGTAACCAAACAAAGAATCCGTCAACACACCAGATTCCCTGTCTGTATTTGCTGCTAACTACGAATTTCCTTCCAGATTATCTATGTAAACCTGAGGACAATGTCTACAATATTGACTTCACACGTTTCAAGATTAGAGATCTGGAGACTGGGACAGTGCTCTTTGAGATTGCTAAACCTCACAACTGTGGTAAACTCAAATAACGTTATATCTTGCCCAGCATAAAGTTTCAACTTTTCTGCCACACCATAAATAAGAGAGCTTGGATAGGCCACATCTTAAAGGTAAACTCAGCAATATGACATCATCATACACATTGGAGCATCTTCCTACTTATAGAAATGAAGTCCAGGTAGCTGTCAGCTTGAACAGGGCACCAGGCTCGATCTGTAAAACAGCCCAGTTGGAAAAACCACTGCTAACGGGTGCACTCGTGGTGTTAGGTTGGGAGCGCAAAACTAATGGTCAAATTTGCCAAGCCTGCCGCTATATTTTCACTTTCCAACGAGGACTTGCCTCATTAGAAGGTATAAATGGGAAAGCACATATTCTTGGCAGATTTGAGCATTAGTTTAGTAAGCAGGAAGTTGTCCCGCTGTGTATGACAATGTCATATCGCTAAGTCTACTTAGAAGGGCTCAGACTAAATGAATTTGTCTATTATTTGAAACAAGCCAAATTATTCCCTCTATGATAATTAATGTAGTCCTTACACACATGTTGTGGATACAATTTCAGGTTGAAATCAGAGATGACATGTTGACACTTATTTGGATGTCAATTACATTTGAATTCATGTTCTCTATCAGACCCTGAAGATGAAGAAGAGAATGGAGACATAGACACCAGTGCTGGGCGCTTTGTGCGGTATCAGTTTACGCCGGCCTTCCTCAGACTGCGGACTGTTGGTGCAACGTAAGTCAGTGGATTAAACAGGAAACATCACATGCATGATCATTATTAGAAATCATATAACTCGTCGTTGAAAAACCACATACTGTGGTTATGCCTAAATGTTCCATGGTATATGTGCTTTCTGCTTTCCAATATGGCTGGCTTACCTCAAGCTCTAGTATGCTGTTAGCAACCTCACATTCAGTTGAGGTCTATTGCTTATAACTCAGCAGTTACTTATGCAGACGAATCATGATCAGTTTCATGCTCAGTTTCGTTTGCTGGTGTGGCTTTGCAGCTCTGGCAACTAATCAAACTGTGGTGACAGAGAGGATTTGGCAGAGCCCTGACACCACACTCCTAAAGTTGTATCACATGGCTGGAGACAATACAATTGAACGAATCATCCTTCATTTGGACTTTTAGGAATATAGATGTTCAATGAATAAAGCTACAATTCAAAGAGTTTAAGCCCTTTTATACAGCTACTGTTATGTTCAGCATATCCCTACTAGTATCTCAAGTGCCTCTCTTTCTTCCCCGCTTTCAGTGTTGAGTTCACCGTGGGGGACCGGCCTGTTAACAGCTTTCGCATGATAGAGAGGCATTATTTCCAGGATAAAGTTCTCAAGAACTTTGACTTTGACTTTGGATTCTGCATCCCAAACAGCCGCAACACTTGCGAACACATCTATGAGTTTCCCCAGCTCCCTGAGGACCTCAGTAAGTCTACTAGTAGTAGGAGCGCACCAGCAATGCCCCCTCTCACTTTGTCTATCAACTTTGTCTTAGCCTGGGTCCCTACAAGCTAAAGTAAAGACTGGCCACAACATAGCTGGCCAAGTCTGTAAGTCTATACTATACACATCCATACAGAGCCAATCAGGCCACTCACATTGTAAGATAAGTAATGTGGATACTAGACAGTCACACGGATCCCCTCCAGGAGTAATATACTGTAAGCCAGGCTATATGTGCATTCTGCTGTTCCTTATTTAGTTATTTCCAAACTGAAATCCCTTGTTTTTTTGTCTTTCTTTGAAGTTCGCCTAATGGTGGAGCACCCGTATGAGACCAGGTCAGACAGCTTCTACTTTGTGGACAACAAACTGATCATGCACAATAAGGCAGACTACGCCTACGATGGGGGCGAGTAGTGCCTGAATATTAACGTCTTGTGTGCAATGCAACGCAGGGGTCACATTGCCCCTGAACACAACAACCATATAGCCCTTTTGGGAACAGGAGTGTACTTCCTTCACTTCAGACATTCCAACAAACTTTACCAGTCCCAGGTTTGGGAAAACAGGACCATATCTGCCTTCAAAACAAGTTACTTCATTTATTTGATACCTCGTACCCCTCTGTTGCTGGGACTCATAGGAAACTCTTGTCAATCACTCTTTTGTAATGTTGAACACGTTTTTCTTTTAATCTTTTCAAAATTTTTCAAGTTTAAATGGTTAATTTAATACATATTATTTTAATCTGCCTTGAGTTAGTTCAGTATTTGTTGCAATATCCTTGTTTTTGAGTTGGACTGCATTTAGGCATGTCTTGTGGGTTTGTGTAACTCTTATCAGTCTAATGATCTAATACACTCATTCAAATTGAATAATATTAGTTTCAATTTCTCTAACATTTTTCGGGGTCGCCATCTCCCTGGTGAAAGGCCACTCTGTTACCAGACAGCTCTGCAGAGGGAATCGGGAACTTTACATGATCCCAAACTGAATGTTGAATACTGAACATTTTTAGCCCGTAAGATGAAAACTGGTTGAAGTTGAGCATGTTTTATGTTATTTTGTACACACAACAATAGTTGACAGATGGCACAATTGGATGGCAAGCCAATTCCAACTGTTTGATACTATCTAATTTGATTGAACAATAGTAAATACAGTTTTGCTACTCATTGTGCTCTAGTAACAATCATTATCCTTTGCTGTGTCTTCCCTCCTTAGATAGTGGGCTAAATATTCAGCTTTGAGACTAACAAATGCTCCATGACTTTGAAATCTTGCCTTGATAGAAGCTGTATTATTCATATTGGGTGTCCCATTTCACCTCTCTAGCTGTATATACAACCAATAATCCCTGTTGACTGAGACAATTTTGCATTAACTGCCTTTGGTAGTAAGTGACAGACAACACCCCTGGTCTTTTAAGTTGTTAGCATGTGTGACAGCGCTGTAAATGTACTTGTAGGGTGTTTGTGCCTGCTGGAGTGATACTGAGTCTCCCAATACTAAATTAAATCTCCCCCATGGGCTTTGTATTCAGACTGCTCAACTCAAGAGGCTTTGTGTGTGAGAGAGAAATCCCTGTCAAGTCCAGCTGTCGATCAGCTGTGCTCCACTACACATCTCTCCAACAACACACTCATCAACAGAAGTCAAAAGCAGGCTGGAAGAGATTTAATTACTTAACTCAGTCAGCTATGAAATGGTAACTACAAGTCAATGCTCAGTGGAAGGTATATTGTATGATGTGATGTTAATCACTTTCGAGACTTGTGATATGTGTCTGTTCTTTACAGTTACTGATGGAAAATTGTGATGGCATCCACCATTTTAAATTCTGTATTTCTAATAGCACCTTCAAATGAACACTAATTATGGCTTTTACAAAATGGTCGCTACTGATATAATTTTTCCCTCTCAACCCCATAGATTTTTATTGAGCATATTGTACTTTTGCCTATTGATGAATGTGTTTTATGACAGACAAATCTCACAATGACTACAAAGTGTGCTGTCTTTTGAATGTTACATTTCAGGAACCATATCAAATACTATTGTCTACATCTATGGCTGTGTAATGGGTGAGGATCTGGTAAGAACTAGAAGCCCTCCTAACATTGCCTTTTATGTTCTGTTAGATTTGTTTTGTTTCTGCAAAACGAGGGGGAAATAAAAAAACAAAAGCAATTTAAGAAAAAATGTTGCCTTCACTCATCAAACTAACCATTGTAGCATGCAGGTTTGCCCCTGTCGCCACTAGTTACCGCAGCCACAAAGTCATAATTATGGCTATACCATGCGCATTTCTACAATTTATCTTCTTCAAATCAGATTTTAAACCAAACCTTTAACCACGCTGCTAACATTATGCCTAACCTTAAATTAACACCAAAAAGCTAATTAGTATTTTCATTAATTTTTACGATACATAGCCAATTTGGACTTTGGCTGTGGTAACTAGTGACAACCGTTTGCCCTGAAATAATTAATTACCCATAGTGTATTGCTTTGTAGCAACACATGTCAGAGCCCATTGGAACGATGGTTGAAGCCTCGAGCAGTGAAGATGAAGATCTAGAACATTTTAAGGAAGCAGCTTGGAGTTCTGGCACATGTGGAACTAATGGTACACACAATGCCAACACGGCAGGTAAATTCAGCCAAACTTTAGTGTACCTTTACTTTAGCTAAGAACCAGGATGTAGTTAGCTAACGCTAACAGTTAGTCATAACAACAAATGTGGGGTGGGAGATGGATATCTAAGTGTGTGAAATCTTGAGCCAACGAGCAAATCTATTTTACCCCAAAAACGGCAGCAAAGTCCTAACAGTAACTACTGCTGTTTTAGATGGGGAATAGCAATGTCAAGCAATCCCGTCGGTAAGTTTTCATTTACTCTGAAATCCTGCTATCCCCTCTCTATTTTTGACTCATCATGAATAGAAGTTTTGCATCAAGTTTGGCTTTACCAGCTACACTTTTACTGTTTTATGTTATGCCATGGTCAACAGTGTGGCTGAATCTAAACATGAACATGATGGGAACGATCTTCAGACGACCCCGGAGTTCCGTGCGCACGTTGCAAAGAAATTAGGGGCTATGCTTGAAAGGTATTTATTATTTATCATGTGAAAATGTTAATAAACATCAATTTTACTATTTTAGCTAGTTACATCAAACTGTTATAGCCTTTGCCTCATGTTACCGCCACCTGTCTACTTTTCAGTAGCCTACTTTAATCTAACTATGCAATTTGATGTTCAGTTGTATTTCAGTGATATCTGCAGAAACATCAAGACCCTGCACAGAGTCAACCAAATGTGAAGATGAAGGTGAGGGTGTATCCAGAAATGGGTTTGCATTGAAACTGATACAGTAGTTACAAAATGTATGATGTGTTGTCAGATATGATGTAATGTAGATGCTGGATGTGGTCTTGATCTTATTTCTTGGTTTTAAAGGGTTCCGGCTGTTCACCACATCCGTCCCAGGAGAGTTTACCATTGATCCCCCTCCTTCTCCTGTAAGGCGTTGGCCCATCCCCAGCTCAAGGTGATGCTTGTTCTATGTAGGGCTGGCCTTTTAACCTTTGGGATGTGTGAGGTGGTTTGATGTCACCTTCATTCCTACTTTGGGAAGGAATCCTTATACAGTAGCATTGCATACTGTAATAAATGTTTGTTTCTGCAATGTTCTTCTAGTGACAGTGACAGTGAGATGGAGATGAGACTGAGAGAGGCGGCAGTGTCAGTCACAGACCTCCTATCATCGGCTCTCCCCAGCGCGGTTACACCTTCCCTGCCGGAGTCCCCCAGCTCAGAGAAAATTAAGAAGAAGAAGAACAACGAAGGAGAGGAGGTAGAAAGAGAGGACCGTAATAACAGCCCTGTCCCAAAGACAAATAAGAAAAGGAAAGCTCTCCAGGGGGAGTGTGGAAGAGGGAGAGAACTGTGGAGAATCCTCACCTAATGCTAAAATCGATGAGGAGCAGAAGACGCCAGAGGAGGACAGTCTTCCCCTGAAGGTCAAGAAGAAAAAGAAACAAAAAGGCACAGATGAAAGGGTGGAAGATGAAGTATAAAAGCACTGAGCGACTTCTGAACTTGTGTGCTGTGATTTGCGATATTGGCTGTTTGTTCCATACTTGTGAGACCTGTTGTACTTGGGAATCTTAGCATTGATTATAACATGGTCAGGTCATACACTGTCATATCACAGCAATTTTGTACTACTTTGTAGATTGCATTCCAGAAAATAACAATGTGATCTTTCAGAAATGTGAAATAAGTATTTCACCAGATATTTGATGACCTTTTTCTCTTCCCAAAACACAATTTGTGCTATGCCTTGTTTTGTAAAGAAAGTAGTTTACACTGAGGTTGAGTTACATGTACATTTAAGAGCAGAATACTATACAAGAATTGAGAGCATTTTTATTAACACTTTTCTATTGATAACGTACACACACTGGCCAGTTTATTAGGTACACCACCCCGTTCACAAAAATGGATCGCTTGTACAGACAGTGAGTCACTTGGCTGTGGCTTGCTATATAAAGCAGGCATCGAGGCATTCAATTACTGTTCGATTGAATGTTAGAATGGGCAAAACGAGTGACCTAAGTGACTTTGAGCATGGAATGATCGTCGGTGCCAGGTGAGACAAAATGGTGCCACAAACAAAAACATCCACTCAGTGGCAGTACTGTGGGAGAAAACAGCTTGTTGATGAGAGAGGGTGAAGGAAAATGGCAAGAATCGTGCAAGCTAACAGGCGGGCCACAAACAGACAAATAACGGAGCAGAACGGCGTCTCGGAACACACAACTCATCGATCCTTGTCACGAATGGGCTATTGCAGCAGACGACCACACCGGGTTCCTCTCCTGTCAGCTAAAAACAAGAAGAAGCGGCTCCAGTGGGCACACGATCACCGACAAATGCTGTTGCGTTATGCTGATGGCAGAGTCAGGATTTGGTGTAAGCAGCATGAATCCATGGACCCATCCTGCCTGGTGTCAACGGTACAGGCTGGTGGCGGTGGTGTACTGGTGTGGGGAATGTTTTCCTGGTATACGTTAGGTCTCTTGATACCAATTGAGCAACAAACGTTTCCGACACCTTATAGAATTCATGCCCCGAAAAATTTGGGCTGTTCTGGAAGCAAAGGGGGTCCGACCCAGCACAAGATGGGCGCAGTGCATAATTTGAGCCAGATCTTGCCAGAACAGGATCCGGCACCTCTCCGTTTTGGACTATTTCGTTCCGCAACCTATTTGGCCGGATCCGGTACCTCTCATGGTATGAAAAAAAATATTCTCCGGCCACCCCCCAAAAATAAACTTAATCTGAAAAAATAGATCTTCAGCCAAGGCCTGATATTCTAAGAGTTGATTCGGGTTGGGCCGGCCCGGGTTTATGGTTTGCCCAACATTTCAACATATGTTTGAGACCAACGTGTGACCGTGGCTGTGTGAGAAGCGCGCCTGTATCACAGCTCTAGAATGAGATTCACTTTCTATGATCTTTCTCTGCTCTGATAGACATGAGCCTGCAACTCATCTCTCCAGCATTGCACGTCATTTATTTCCTTATAGAATCATAGCAGGGAGAAGGGTTCTGGAGGAGCTGCAGCGCCCCTGATGAATTGAAATACATTTGCCAAAGTTTTAGAATTACTGCTGTCTGTTCAGAAATAAATGAAATTATTCAGAATAGTCTGCTACACCTATAATTTAGCCACAAAGGATTAATTGCTTCTTTAAAAAAATAGCCAAGCTGTGGATTGTGTGTTGCCAAATAACAAGGCATAGCCTACAGTCGGGAACGCATGGAGAATCTGTCAGTGAACAGCATGCAGACAAAACAGGCCTTCCAACACAGGTTGGAAAGCAAATGAATCCTGCTGAAAAGAGAAGACTAATCTGTCTGCTGTAGGCTTCCAAAATATTTGATCAACTTCCAAATATTGTTTTACAAAGTAAAATAGCCTCAGCTTAGGTGTGTGTGTAGGTGTTTTACAAAGAAAACGAGAGAGAGAGGCTTTTTGCATGAACACCGGCTGTCACCAGCGAGTGAGCTGTGCATGGTGAGTAAGTGAAACTGGAAAGCATTTTTAGGACTATAATGTCCTCCTCATATTGTAGCCTACAATACAGTGCCTTGCAAAAGTATTCATCCCCCTTGGCGTTTTTCATATTTTGTTGCATTACAACCTGTAATTTAAATGGATTTGTATTTTTATTTCATGTAATGGACATACACAAAACAGTCCAAATTGGTGAAGTGAAATGAAAAAAAAGAAGTTGTTTAAAGCAATTCTACAAAATACATAACAAAAAAGTGGTGCGTGCATATGTACGGTCGTGGTCAAAGGTTTTGAGAATGACACAAGTATTGGTCTTCACAAAGTTTGCTGCTTCAGTGTTTTTATATATTTTTGTCAGATGTTACTATGGTATACTGAAGTATAAATACAAGCATTCCATAAGTGTCAACGGCTTTTATTGACAAATACATTAAGTTTATGCAAAGAGTCAATATATGCAGTGTTGACCCTTCTTTTTCAAGACCTCTGCAATCCGCCTTGGCATGCTGTCAATTAACTTCTGGGCCACATCCTGACTGATGGCAGCCCATTCTTGCATAATCAATGCTTGGAGTTTGTCAGAATTTGTGGGGTTTTGTTTGTCCACCTGCCTCTTGGGGATCGACCACAAGTTCTCAATGGGATTAAGGTCTGGGGAGTTTCCTGGCCATGGACCCAAAATGTTGATGTTTTGTTCCCCGAGCCACTTAGTTATCACTTTTGCCTTATGGCAAGGTGCTCCATCATGCTGGAAAAGGAATTGGTCGTCACCAAACTGTTCTTGGATGGTTGGGAGAAGTTGCTCTCGGAGGATGTGTTGGTACCATTCTTTATTCATGGCTGTGTTCTTAGGCAAAATTGTGAGTGAGCCCACTCCCTTGGCTGAGAAGCAACCCCACACTTGAATGGTCTCAGGATGCTTAACTGTTGCACTCACACCTGCCTGCTGCCATTCCTGAGCAAGCTCTGCACTGGTGGTGCCCCGATCCTGCAGCTCAATCAACTTTAGGAGACGGTCCTGGCGCTTGCTGGACTTTCTTGGGCGCCCTGAAGCCTTCTTAACAACAATTGAACCTCTCTCCTTGAAGTTCTTGATGATCCGATAAATGGTTGATTTAGGTGCTATCTTACTAGCAGCAATATCCTTGCCTGTGAAGCCCTTTTTGTGCAAAGCAATGATGACGGCACGTGTTTCCTTGCAGGTAACCATGGTTAACAGAGGAAGAACAATGATTTCAAGCACCACCCTCCTTTTAAAGCTTCCAGTCTGTTATTCTAACTCAATCAGCATGACAGTGTGATCTCCAGCGCTGTCCTCGTCAACAATCACCTGTGTTAACGAGAGAATCACTGACATGATGTCAGTTGGTCCTTTTGTGGCAGGGCTGAAATGCAGTGGAAATGTTTTTTGGGGATTAAGTTCATTTCCATGGCAAAGAGGGACTTTGCAATAAATTGCAATTCATCTGATCACTCTTCATAACATTCTGGAGTATATGCAAATTGCCATCATAAAAACTGAGGCAGCAGACTTGGTGAAAATTAATATTTGTGTCATTCTCAAAACTTTTGACCACGACTGTATTCACCCGCTTTGCTATGAAGCCCCTAAATAAGATCTGGTGCAACCAATTACCTTCAGAAGTCACATAATTAGTTAAATAAAGTCCACCTGTGTGCAATCTAAGTGTCACATGATCTGTCGCATGATCTCAGTATATATACACCTGTTCTGAAAGGCCCCAGAGTCTGCAACACCACTAAGCAAGGGGCACCACCAAGCAAGCGACACCATGAAGACCAAGGAGCTGCCAAGACAGGGCCGCCCACCAAAACTCATGGACAGCTGCAAGTCTCTTGGGGTATGTCTCTATAAGCTTGACACATCTAGCCACTGGGATTTTTGCCCATTCTTCAAGGCAAAACTGCTCCAGCTCCTTCAAGTTGGATGGGTTCTGCTGGTGTACAGCAATCTTTAAGTCATACCACAGATTCTCAATTGGATTGAGGTCTGGGCTTTGACTAGGCCATTCCAAGACATTTAAATGTTTCCCCTTAAACCACTCGAGTGTTGCTTTAGCAGTATGCTTAGGGTCATTGTCCTGCTGGAAGGTGAACCTCCGTCCTAGTCTCAAATCTCTGGAAGACTGAAACAGGTTTCCCTCAAGAATTTCCCTGTATTTAGCGCCATCCATCATTCCTTCAATTCTGACCAGTTTCCCAGTCCCTGCCGATGGAAAAACATCCCCACAGCATGATGCTGCCACCACCATGCTTCACTGTGGGGATGGTGTTCTCGGGGTGATGAGCGGTGTTGGGTTTGCGCCAGACATTTTCCTTGATGGCCAAAAAGCTAAATTTTTGTCTCATCTGACCAGAGTACCTTCTTCCATATGTTTGGGGAGTCTCCCACATGCCTTTTAGCGAACACCAGACGTGTTAGCTTATTTTTTCTTTAAGCAATGGCTTTTTTCTGGCCACTCTTCCGTAAAGCCCAGCTCTGTGGAGTGTACGGCTTAAAGTGGTCCTATGGACAAATACTCCAATCTCCGCTGTGGGGCTTTGCAGCTCCTTCAGGGTTATCTTTGGTGTCTTTGTTGCCTCTCTGATTAATGTCCTCCTTGCCTGGTCCGTGAGTTTTGGTGGGCGGCCCTCTCTTGGCAGGTATGATGTGGTGCCATATTCTTTAAATTTTTTAATAATGGATTTAATGGTGCTCCGTGGGATGTTCAAAGTTTCTGATATTTTTTTATAACCCAACCCTGATCTGTACTTCTCCACAACTTTGTCCCTGACCTGTTTGGAGAGCTCCTTGGTCTTCATGGTGCCGCTTGCTTGGTGGTGCCCGTTGCTTAGTGGTGTTGCAGACTCTGGGGCCTTTCAGAACAGGTGTATATATACTGAGATCATGTGACACTTAGATTGAAAACAGGTGGACTTTATTTAACTAATTATGTGACTTCTGAAGGTAATTGGTTGCACCAGATCTTATTTAGGGGCTTCATAGCAAAGGGGGTGAATACATATGCACGCACCACTTTTCCATTATTTATTTCTTTGAATTTTTTGAAACAAGTTCTTTTTTTCGTTCCACTTCACCAATTTGGACTATTTTTTGTATGTTCATTACATGAAATCCAAATAAATATCAATTTAAATGACAGGTTAATGCAACAAAATAGGAAAAACGCCAAGGGGGGTGAATACTTTTGCAAGGCACTTTAGTTTTTGATCAAATGCTAAGAATTTCTGTTGCATCTTTATCACAGTTCTCTACTTACTGTAAAACATTTTGTTTCACCCCCTCTATCCCCACCCCTTCACATTACATAGTGGTTACATTATATTGCTACTGTGCAGTAGAGACCATCTGTTCAGGAATGTAGGAGTTGATGTCTGCTGGCGAAGAGGAGAGGAGGTGAGGTGGATGAGTTTCATTAGACTGAGATGGAGGATACAGCTCTAAGTTCCCAGAGGAAACTAGAAAAAAAGCGATGGTAAGTTATTCGTTTCCAGTTTCTCTACTATCATTCCAATTACAAACCTGCATTTAAAATGCCCTATTTTCACTGCCAACTAGAGAATACCATGGATTATATTTACCCCTATCTAGCCTAAGTGATGTTAAATTACTTTCAAATATGTGTTACGCTAAGTTGTTTTTTTAGTCTTGAATCTCCCCTGTAGTGTCAGAAACTGCATCTTCAGGGAAATATTCCACACCAGAGTAATATGTTTCTTACCTGCCACAGGTGAAGGGGTTTGCAGGTGTAGGGAGGCATCCTTGATGGGTTGGTCTGTCTCCTCCTCAGGGTCTGTGGTCAGAATCTAACCAATGCAAAAGTAATTATCAGATTCAATCCACATTAATACTATTTATGATCATTAGCCAGTGAGTCTAGACTTTTCTGTACCTGTATCCTATGACTTAGCCTATATTTAAGTGATTATTAATGGCATCACTTTCATATTGGTAAATGTTTGGCTTCACAGTACCTGTCTGACTGCACTTAGACTGGTCAGTGTTCCAAGGCTGCTGCTGTCAGTGATGACCGTGGCTTGGGACAGTAGGCTGGACGGAGGGTAGGAAGACATATCGGACTTGCTGTACACTGCAATGGAGAAATTGAGAGCAGGCGCAGAGATACTTTATGAAACTTAGTTCTAGCTGTTCTATTATGTCACTTATTCCTTGTTTCATACATGTATTTCTGTCAACAGGACAACTGAAGGAGTAACATGCTGCCACTGTGGCCTTACTGTGACATGGAAGCTGTGCCATGGTTGCCATGAAAGGACTGTGGCCCATATGACTCTGGAACTGCTGTGTGAGTTGCTGCTGGGAAGAGGAATGAAGCTGCTGCTGGAAAGAGATTGGCTGAAGGGTGGTGAACCCGCCTCCCACGTTGTTGATGACAGGTACTGTTTGACCTGTTGACCAACATAGGCCAGGAAAACATGGATTAGGCTACTTTGTAAATGTCAATTAAAGTTTATCTGACAGCTTTCTGATCATCACTGGAAAAGGAAACAATACACTACAGTGGATATATTTAAAGATTACCATTTGATCATATCTATGCACTGACTTAGAGCCGTTTGAGTGGAGGGTACTATGTGTAGGATTTGTATTTATTAAGGATCCCCATTAGCTGCTGCCAAGGCAGCAGCTACTCTTTCTGCAGTCCAGCAACATTAAGGCAGTTATGTTCTGAGCCAATTGTAATTTTCCGAGGGCCCTCTTTGTGGCACCTGATCACACGACTGAACAGTAGACCTGCCTTGTTGATAGTGTTGTTAAAAACGAAGAGCAGCGCTTTAGGGACAGACTTCTCCCCATCTTAGCTACTGTCGTATCAACATGTTTTGACCATGACAGTTTACAATCCAGGGTTACTTCAAGCAGTTTAGTCACCTAAACTTGTTCAATTTCCACATTATTTATTACAAGATTTAGTTGAGGTTTAGGGTTTAGTAAATGATTTGTCCCAAATACAATGCTTTTAGTTTTTGAAATATTTAGAACTAACGTATTCCTTGCCACCCATTCTGAAACTAACTGCAGCTCTTTGTTAAGTGTTGCAGTGATTTCATTCGCTGTAGTAGCTGACGTGTTGAGTCATCCGCATACAGTGAGGGAAAAAAGTAAAATTTTTTTGTTGTTATTCTGTCTCTCACTGTTCAAATAAACCTACCATTAAAATTATAGACTGATCATGTCTTTGTCAGTGGGCAAACGTACAAAATCAGCAGGTGATCAAATACTTTTTTCCCTCACTGGCTTTACTTACTCAAAGCCAGTAGCATGTCATTAGTAAAGATTGAAAAAAGTAAAGGGCCTAGACAACTGCCCTGGGGAATTCCTGATTCTACCTGGATTATGTTGGAGAGGCTTCCATTAAAGAATACCCTCTGTGTTCTGTTAGACAGGTAACTTTTTATGCACAATATAGCAGGGCGTGTAAAGCCATAACACATATGTTTTTCCAGCAGCAGACTATGATCGATAATGTCATAAATTACCTATGAGGAGAGAAGACTCTCCCAGACACATGACGCTGGGCAGGGAGGCCATGATGAGTCCCTGGGGGGGAGAAGGCGAGGCAGACAGACTGTGCAGTGAGGTCAGGGTGCTTACTGGGGGCAGTGGACCACCTCCTGATACCTGAGATGGGAAAGCGGGTGGTTGGCAGATAGTGACAACAACAGTCATAGATTATTATGAGGATTGAGATGCTTTGTAAACTCAAAGGTTTATGATGACGGGAAGTATTGTACGATCTTACTAGTTTGATGCGATATGTCTCTTAATTTCACTGGCTTACATGATGATCTATCCCTTGTGATGATATGAAATGGATTGCGATCTCATTGGCTTATGTTATGATGTAATAAATATGGTCCGCGATCCCACTGGCTTTTTGTTATGATGTAATATGGTTTGTGATCTAATTTGCTTATGATGATGTATTGTGGTTTGTGATATCATTGGCTTATTATGCTATAATATTATATGTGATCACACTGGTTTGCATGATGTTGTGATGCAGTTACTAATCTCTGTATTGTGATGTGTATTGTGATAATGTGAACATATTTGCTGATCTCTCTGGTTTGTGAAAATGGGAGGTTGTTTGTGATCTCACTGGTTTGTGACAATGTGTGAGATATGGTTAATGATTATACAGTGCATTCGAAAAGTATTCAGACCCCTTGACTTTTTCCAAATGTTGTTACGTTTACAGCCTTATTCTAAAATTGATTTTCCTCATCATTCTACACACAATACCCCATATTGATAAAGCAAAAACATGTTTTTAGAAGTTTTTGCAAATTTATAAATAAATACAAAACTGAAATCACATTTACATAAGTATTCAGACCCTTTACTCAGTACTTTGTTGAAGCACCTTTGGCAGCGATTACAGCCTAGAGTCTTCTTGGGTATGACGCTACAAGTTTGGCACACCTGTATTTGGGGAGTTTCTCCCATTCTTCTCAGTAGATCCTCTCAAGCTCTGTCAGGTTGGATGGGGAGTGTCGCTGCACAACTATTTTCAGGTCTCACCAGAGATGTTAGATTGGGTTCAAGTCCAGGCTCTGGCTGGGCCACTCAAGGACATTCAGAGACTTGTCCTGAAGCCACTCCTGCATTGTCTTGGCTGTGTGCTTAGGGTCATTGTCCTGTTGGAAGGTGAACCTTCACCCCAGTCTGAGGTCCTTAGCGCTCTCGAGCAGGTTTTCATCAAGGATCTCTCTGTACTTTGCTCCGTTCATCTTTCCCTCGAGCCTGACTAGTCTCCCAGTCACTGCCGCTGAAGAACACCCCACAGCATGATGCTGCCACGACCATGCTTCACCGTAGGGATGGTGCCAGGTTTTCTCCAGACGTGATGCTTGGCATTCAGGCCAAAGAGTTCAATCTTGGTTTCATCAGACCAGAGAGTCTTGTTTCTCATGGTCTGAGATATCCTTTATGTGCCTTTTGGCAAACTCCAAGCGGGCTGTCATATGCCTTTTACTGAGGAGTGGCTTCCTTCTGGCCACTCTACCATAAAGGCCTGATTGGTGGAGTGCTGCAGACATGGTTGGCCTTCTGGAAGGTTCTCCCTTCTCCACAGAGGAACTCTGGAGCTCTCTCAGAGTGACCAAGGCCCTTCTCCCCCTCTACGGACAATTCCTTCAACCTCATGGCTTGGTTTTTGCTCTGACATACACTGTCAAATCAAATGAAATTGTATTTGCCACATGCGCTGAATACAACAGGTGTAGACCTTACAGTGAAATGCTTACTTACAAGCCTTTAACCAAAAATGCAGTTTAAAGAAAAATAAGTGTTAAGTAAAATAAAAAATAACTAAAGAGCAGCAGTAAAGTAAAATAACAGTAGGGAGGCTATATACAGGGGGTACCGGTACAGAGTCAATGTGCGGGGGCACCGGTTAGTTGAGGTAATATGTACATGTGGGTAGAGTTAAAGTGACTATGCATAGATAATAAACAGAGTAGCAGCAGCATAAAAGAGGGGGTGGGGTGGGGTGGGGGTGGGGTGGGGGGGGACAATGCAAATAGTCCGGGTAGCCATGATTAGCTGTTCAGGAGTCTTATGGCTTGGGGGTAGAAGCTGTTAAGAATCCTTTTGGACCTAGACTTGGTGCTCTGGTACCGCTTGCCGTGCGGTAGCAGAGAGAACAGTCTATGACTAGGGTGGCTGGAGTCTTTGACAATTTCTAGGGCCTTCCTCTGACACCACCTGGTATATAGGTCCTGGATGGCAAGAAGCTTGGCCCCAGTGATGTACTGGGCCGTACGCACTACCCTCTGTAGTGCCTTGCGGTCGGAGGCCGAGCAGTTGCCATACCAAGTGGTGGTGCAACCAGTCCAGATGCTCTCGATGGTGCAGCTGTAGAACTTTTTGAGGATCTGAGGACCCATGCCAAATCTTTTCAGTCTCCTGAGGGGGAATAGGCTTTGTCGTGCCCTCTTCACGACGGTCTTGGTGTGTTTGGACCATGATAGTTTGTTGGTGATGTGGACACCAAGGAACTTGAAGCTCTCAACCTGTTCCACTACAGCCCCGTCGATGAAAATGGGGGCGTGCTCAGTCCTCTTTTTTTTCCTGTAGTCCACAATCATCTCCTTTGTCTTGATCACGTTGAGGGAGAGGTTGTTATCCTGACACCACACGGCCAGGTCTCTGACCTCCTCCCTATAGGCTGTCTCATCGTTGTCGGTGATCAGGCCTACCACTGTTGTGTTGTCGGCAAACTTAATGATGGTGTTGGAGTCATGCCTGGCCGTGCAGTCATGGGTAAACAGGGAATACAGGAGGGGACTGAGCACGCACCCCTGAGGGGCCCCCGTGTTGAGGATCAGCGTGGCAGATGTGTTGTTACCCACCCTTACCACCTGGGGGTGGCCCGTCAGGAAGTCCAGGATCCAGTTGCGGAGGGAGGTGTTTAGTCCCAGGGTCCTTAGCTTAGTGATGAGCTTAAAGGGCACTATGGTGTTGAATGCTGAGCTGTAGTCAATTAATAGCATTCCTCTTGTCCAGGTGGAAAGGGCAGTGTGGAGTGCAATAGAGATTGCATCATCTGTGGATCTGTTGGGGCGGTATGCAAATTGGAGTGGGTCTAGGGTTTCTGGGATAATGGTGTTGATGTGAGCCGTGACCAGTCTTTCAAAGCACTTCATGGCTACAGACGTGAGTGCTACGGGTCGGTAGTCATTTAGGCAGGTTATCTTAGTGTTCTTGGGCACAGGGACTATGGTGGTCTGCTTGAAACATGTTGGTATTACAGACTCAGTCAGGGACATGTTGAAAATGTCAGTGAAGACACTTGCCAGTTGGGCAGCGCATGCTCAGAGTACACGTCCTGGTAATCCGTCTGGCCCTGCGGCCTTGTGAATGTTGACCTGCTTAAAAGTCTTACTCACATCGGCTACGGAGAGCGTGATCACATAGTCATCCGGAACAGCTGATGCTCTCATGCATGCTTCAGTGTTGCTTGCATCGAAGCGAGCATAGAAGTGATTTAGCTCGTCTGGTAGGCTTGTGTCACTGGGCAGCTTGCGGCTGTGCTTCCCTTTGTAGTCACCGGAGCCGGCGTAGTACGATTCAATCTTAGTCCTGTATTGACTCTTTGCCTGTTTGATGGTGTGTCGGAGGGCATAGCGGGATGTCTTATAAGCGTGCGGGTTAGAGTCCCGCTCCTTGAAAGCGGCAGCTCTACCATTTAGCTCAGTGCGGATGTTGCCTGTAATCCATGGCTTCTGGTTGGGGTATGTGTGTACAGTCACTGTGGGGACGACGTCATCTATGCACTTATTGATGAAGCCAGTGACTGATGTGGTGTACTCCTCAATGCCATCGGAAGAATCCCGGAACATGTTCCAGTCTGTGCTAGCAAAACAGTCCTGAAGCTTAGCATCTGCGTCTTCTGACCACATCCTTATTAACCGAGTCACTGGTGCTTCCTGCTTTAGTTTTTGCTTGTAAGCAGGAATCAGGAGGATGGAATTATGGTCATATTTTCCAAATGGAGGGCGAGGGAGAGTTTTGTACGCGTCTCTGTGTGTGGAGTAAAGGTTGTCTAGAGTTTTTTATCCTCTGGTTGCACATTTAACATGCTGGTAGAAATTAGGCATTAAAGTCCCCGGCCAGTAGGAGCGCTGCCTCTGGATGAGTGTTTTCCTGTTTGCTTATGGCCTTATACAGCTCATTGAGTGCAGTCTTAGTGCCAGCATCGGTTTGTGGTGGTAAATAGACAGCTACGAAAAATAGTGTGGTCTACAGCTTATCATGAGATACTCTACCTCAGGCGATCAAAGCCTTGAGACTTCCTATAGCTCAGCTGGTAGAGCACGGCGCTTGTAACGCCAAGTTAGTGGGTTCGATCCCTGGGACCACCCATACACAAAAAAAAATATGCACGCATGACTGTAAGTCGCTTTGGATAAAAGCGTCTGCTAAATGGCATATTATTATTATTAATATTGTATTTCGTGCACCAGCTGTTGTTTACAAATATACATAGACCGCCACCCCTTGTCTTACCGGAGTCAGCCGTTCTATCCTGCCAATGTAGCATTTATCCCGCCAGCTGTATGTTATCCATGTCGTCGTCAACTGTAGGACCTTATATAGACAGGTGTGTGCCTTTCCAAATAATGTCCAATCAATTGAATTTACCACAGGTGGACTCCAATCAAGTTGTAGAAACATCTCAAGGATGATCAATGGAAACAGGATGCACCTGAGTTCAATTTCGAGTCTCATAGCAAACGGTCTGAAGACTTATGTAAATAAGCTATTTCTGTTTTTTATTTTTAATACATTTGCAAAAATTCTAAAAACCAGTTCGCGGTTTGTCATTATGGGGTATTGTGTGTAGATTGATGATTATTATTTATTTAATCAATTTTAGAATAAGGCTGTAACGTAACAAAATGTGGGAAAAGGGAAGGGGTCTGAATACTTTCTGAATGCTTTCCGTATAATGGTAGGTGATCTCACTAGTTTGTGATGGCTTGTTTCCAGGAGTGTGTGGCTGGGCTCAAGTTGGATGGGGCTGGCCAGGCAGTCTGCCAAGCCTCGGTCTCCACTGTGACCCTTCACTGATCCCAGACTGTCACATGTGATTTGCTGGCTGTACTTCATGCCTGGAAGAGAGGAAGAGTGTTAGGATGAGTTAGGATCAGGTGGTATATCCAGGCTCTGTCGTAGCCGGCCGCGACCGGGAGACACATGGGGCGGCGCACAATTGGCCCAGCGTCGTCCAGGGTAGGGGAGGGAATGGCCGGCAGGGATGTAGCTCAGTTGGTAGAGCATGGCGTTTGCAACGCCAGGGTTGTGGTTTCGATTCCCACGGGGAATGATAAAATAAAATAATAATGTATGCACTCACTAACTGTAAGTCGCTCTGGATAAGAGCGTCTGCTAAAAAAATTATAATAATAAATAAATAAATAAATAAAGACATTTTGCACCCTGGCAGTCTTGGTTCTGTTCCTCTGTATAGCGGTACTAATAATAGTACATAACACAACATCTGAGGACAACATGAATGATTCATTATGCTGTTTGTGGATTCAATGAAATAATATTTTTTATTCACTTTGGTGTTAGTGAGTGTTACCTTGCACAGGGTTGTGTGAGAAAGTTTGGTTGGTGGTGCTTGCTGATTGGCTGGTGTAAGGCGAATCGAGAGCCAGTTTATGGCGGAAGGCCTCCTCCTTGCGGCGGTTAGCGAACCAGTTGTACACTCGTACCTCTGTCACCAGGTTAGAGCCCAGGCCAGCCAGCTGCGATGGAGACACACCCCTCTGGAGACACTCAGCACTGAGGGAGAGCCAGAGAGGCCCCAGAGCAAGAAAAAACGTGTTTAAAGGGGGACACGCTAAAATGACAATGACAGCTCCTCCATTGCACTGGAACTGGGAACATTTCTTACCATTTCTGTTACTTTTTATCTGACCCCTCCCCTCTATCTCACCTGTTACACTCCTCCACTAATCCCTCTCTCTCCTCTTTAGTTGGGTTCTTCTGTCGTTCATAGGCGTGGAATAGGATTTGCTGGGAGGCGGGTCCCCATTTGAACCTGTTCCTCCGTCCTTTCCTCACGTCTTCTCCCTGCTCCTCTCCAGTCCCAAGGCCATGCCTGGCATTGGTAAACTCTGTGTGGAAAACAAGCATATTTTTGTATTGTTCATCTGCTATCGTCATATTAATATCAGTATTTACATTAGTATCAGAATTATTCAGACCGGATTGTGTTATACAGTTGAATTCGGAAATGTACATACACTTAGGTTGGAGTTCAACCACTCCACACATTTCTTGTTAACAAACTATAGTTTTGGCAAGTCGGTTAGGACGTCTACTTTGTGCATGACACAAGTAACTTTTCCAACAATTGTTTACAGACAGATTATTTCACTTATAATTCACTGTATCACAATCCCAGTGGGTCAGAAGTTTACATACTGTGCCTTTAAACAGCTTGGAAAATTCCAGAAAATGATGTCATGGCTTTAGAAGCTTCTGATAGGCTAATTGACATCATTTTAGTCAATTGGAGGTGTACCTGTGGATGTATTTCAAGGCCTACCTTCAAACTCAGTGCCTCTTTGCTTGACATCATGAGAAAATCAAAAGAAATCAGCCAAGACCTGTCTGGTTCATCCTTGGGAGCAATTTCCAAACGCCTGAAGGTACCACGTTCATCTGTACAAAAAATAGTATGCAAGTATAAACACCATGGGACCACGCAGCTGTCATACCGCTCAGGAAGGAGACACATTCTGTCTCCTAGAAATGAACGTACTTTGGTGCGAAAAGTGCAAATCAATCCCAGAACAACAGCAAAGGACCTTGTGAAGATGCTGGAGAAAATAGGTACAAAAGTATCTATATCCACATTAAAATGACTCCTATATCGACATAACCTGAAAGGCCGCTCAGCAAGGAAGAAGCCACTGCTCCATAACCGCCATAAAAAAGCCAGACTATGGTTTGCAACTGCACAAAAGATTGTACTTTTTGGAGAAATGTCCTCTGGTCTGATGAAACAAAAATAGAACTGTTTGGCCATAATGACCAGCGTTATTTTTGGAGGAAAAAGGTGGTTGCTTGCAAGCCGAAGAACACCATCCCAACCGTAAAGCACGGGGGTGTCAGCATCATGCTGTGGGGGTGCTTTGCTGCAGGAGGGACTGGTGCACTTCCCAAAATAGATGGCATCATGAGGAAGGAAAATTATGTGGATATATCGAAGCAACATCTCAAGACATCAGTCAGGAAGTTAAAGCTTGGTCGCAAATGGGTCTTCCAAATGGACAATGACCCCAAGCATACTTCCAAAATTGTGGCAAAATGGCTTAAGGACAACAAAGTCAAGGTATTGGAGTGGCCATCACAAAGCCCTGACCTCAATCCTATAGAATATTTGTGGGCAGAACTGAAAAAGCGTGTGCGAGCAAGGAGGCCTACAAACCTGACTCAGTTACACCAGCTCTGTCAGGAGGAATGGGCCAAAATTCTCCCAATTTATTGTGGGAAGCTTGTGGAAGGCTACCCGAAACGTTTGACCCAAGTTAAACAATTGAAAGGCAATGCTACAAAATACTAATTGTGTATGTAAACTTCTGACCCACTGGGAATGTGATGAAAGAAATAAAAGCTGAAATAAATCATTATCTCTACTATTATTCTGACATTTCACATTCTTAAAATAAAGTGGTGATCCTAACTGGGAATTTTTACTAAGGTTAAATGTCAGGAATTGTGAAAAACTGAGTTTAAATGTATTTGGCTAAGGTGTATGTAAACTTCTGACTTCAACTGTATATATTTTTAAACATAGGGATAATTCACAGGAACTTATGTTACATATTAGAGTATGAGCAGGGTTGGGTAGTAATGGAATACATGTAACAGGGATTATGTAATGGACAATTCCACGGTAACGGAATTACGCGTTGACTCAGATTTTTCACTTTAAAATGTATGCCAAACAAAAAACATTGATTTCAAAGTTTTAACAAACCATACAACTCTATGCACAATGACTACTTTGAACAATGCACACAAACAATTGAACAAAAACACATTTACTGGAAGAACTGTGCAGATGCAATGTTTGGTAACAGAATTACAGTCAAATCTCCCTCAATTTTTTATGCGATCACGTTTTCAAGATTCAAAGATGGCTGCAAAAATAACGGGGTGTCAGCTATGACATGACACCTTGAGTTTGAAAAACAAATGTTTTGGTTATTGAACTACAGTAGTTGAAGTGGATTTACATCTGGTAATGGAATTATGGTGACGGAATTCAGGGCCAGCACTAGCCTTTTGGGTGCCCTAAGCGAAATTCTACACATTTTGCCATGGGGCGTTGAGAAAATTTTGCAGTTTTAAAGCAAGTTTGCTGCAGTTCTACTCATTTTGCCATGTGTCAGAGAGAAATCTTTGCAGTTTATAAGCTAATTGCCATGTCTTTTGCCATGTTAATATGACATCTGAGTGAGAGAGACTAACAAAATCAGTGGGGACCCCTGGAGGTCAGGGCCCCTGGGCACTTGCCCGGCGTGCCCAATTGGTAATTCAACCATGATTACTACAAGTTTAGATAGCTGACTAGACTAATTTACCAATCTAAAATGTTTTTGCTGACATGGCAGTGTTCATTTCGTCACCAATAAATGACGAAAAGCCCTGGAAAAATACATAACTATTACAAATTACTTATCATTTTATACTGAACAAAAATATAAACGCAACATGCAACAATTTCATTGATTTTACTGAGTTACAGTTCATATGAGGAAATCAGTCAATTGAAATAAATTCATTAGGCCCTAATCTATGGATTTCACATGACTGGGAATACAGATATGCATCTGTTGGTCACAGATACCTTTTTTAAGAAATGGGCCTCACAATCGGCCTCAGGATCTCGTCACGGTATCTCTGTGCATTCAAATTGCCATCGATAAAATGCAATTGTGTTCGTTGTCCATAGCTTATGCCTGCCCATACCATAACCCCACCGCCACCATGGGGTACTCTGTTCACAACATTGACATCAGCAAACCGCTCGCCCACACGTCGCCATACACGTGGTTTGAAGTTGTGAGGCCGGTTGAATGTACTGACAAATTATCTAAAATGACTATGGAGGCGGCTTATGGTAAAGAAATTAACATTAAATTATCTGGCAACAGCTCTGGTGGACATTCCTGCAGTCAGCATGCCAATTGCACGCTCCCTCAAAACTTGAGACATATTTTTCATTGTGTTGTGTGACAAAACTGCATTTTTGAGGGGCCTTTTATTGTCCCCAGCACAATGTGCACCTGTGTAATGATCATGCTGTTTAATCAGATTATTGATATGCCACTCCTGTCAGGTGGATGGATGTTCTTGGCAAAGGAGAAATGCTCACTAACAGGGATGTAAACTAATTTGTGCACAACATCTTTGAGAAATAATTTTTTTGTGCATATGGAACATTTCTGCGATCATTTATTTCAGCTCATGAAACATAGGACCAACACTTCACATGTTGCATTGATATTTTTGTTCAGTGTAGTTGACAAAAATGGGACGAGACAACAATTCCACGTGAGACTAATGGACATTTAAATTTGACATGAAGCGCCTTTTAATCTGTTTTTAAGAATGTGTAGTGTTTAAACAGTTTATGACTTTGCTAATGGTTTCAAATGGTTTTAGAGGATGTTGACTAAGCTTAAGGGAGCATCTGGAGAGTAGTTCTATAGGGGCACCCTAAAGCCGAGGAAGTCTGTTAGGTGGAGTCCTGGGATTGGTTTATGGGAAAACACCCATATTATGTTACATAGGGCATAGGATATAAATACCACGGTTAAAACAAAGGAGGACAGAACAACATATTATTTTGAGTCCGTTGTTCTCCAGATGCCTGCAGATATCTGTCAATTTACGCTGAAATCTTGTTATATAAATAAACCTTTACAATTTTGTGCGCTGGTTGGTTCGCTTGCTTATGGATGTGTGCGCTGGAGAAATGTACCGTTTAACAGACTTATGTGTGCAAGTTTTGCTGTTATTTGCTGTGGGATAGGAGTCCGTTCTAAAATTCTAAATTTGTTTGCACTGGTAACAACGCAAACAGGGGGGGAGTGTCTATAACTATTGAAGAATGGAATGAAGGAATAAGGCCAAGGAAAGTTATACAAATTAGGACATTGCGAATCTATGGAAGCCCTCAAACGAGGCGATCATTAGGATGGGCCGAAAAATCCTAAAAGCATGTTAGGTGAATTTAGGTGAGTCCAGGGGACTTGGGGTTGTGGTATATACAGTGGGGGGGAAAAGTATTTAGTCAGCCACCAATTGTGCAGGTTCTCCCACTTAAAAAGATGAGAGAGGCCTGTAATTTTCATCATAGGTACACGTCAACTATGACAGTCAAAATGAGGAAAAAAATTCCAGAAAATCACATTGTAGGATTTTTTTATGAATTTATTTGCAAATTATGGTGGAAAATAAGTATTTTGTCAATAACAAAAGTTTCTCAATACTTTGTTATATACCCTTTGTTGGCAATGACACAGGTCAAACGTTTCTGTAAGTCTTCACAAGGTTTTCACACACTGTTGCTGGTATTTTGGCCCATTCCTCCATGCAGATCTCCTCTAGAGCAGTGATGTTTTGGGGCTGTCGCTGGGCAACACGGACTTTCAACTCCCTCCAAAGATTTTCTATGGGGTTGAGATCTGGAGACTGGCTAGGCCACTCCAGGACCTTGAAATGCTTCTTATGAAGCCACTCCTTCGTTGCCCGGGCGGTGTGCTTGGGATCATTGTCATGCTGAAAGACCCAGCCACGTTTCATCTTCAATGCCCTTGCTGATGGAAGGAGGTTTTCACTCAAAATCTCACGATACATGGCCCCATTCATTCTTTCCTTTACACGGATCAGTCGTCCTGGTCCCTTTGCAGAAAAACAGCCCCAAAGCATGATGTTTCCACCCCCATGCTTCACAGTAGGTATGGTGTTCTTTGGATGCAACTCAGCATTCTTTGTCCTCCAAACACGACGAGTTTAGTTTTTACCAAAAAGTTATATTTTGGTTTCATCTGACCATATGACATTCTCCCAATCCTCTTCTGGATCATCCAAATGCATTCTAGCAAACTTCAGACCGG